ACATATTCTGTGTAGGCGGATTGATCTGTTCTATTGTGTAGTTCGATCAAGTTACTGTTAGTTAAATAAATGTCAAACAGCAACAGTTACTATTATTAATATTATTATTGAAAAAATAATCAGAAACGCATAGAAGACCTTCACTGGTCTGAAATCCGTGCATAGATCTACTGTATTCAGTATTATATTGAACAGGATACGAATCTTGAACAGAATAATGTCGGGTTATTCAGTTCATGGACTTGAAGTGCCGTTGAAATCACTTCTGACAGGCTTCAAACTTTCATTAAAACAAGGAGGAACTGTGGTGACCAACAATATCAGGAACATGTGTGGATTGTAGATACGCTAAGAAGACGTTTTGGTGATATGATTCGTCAATCATGCGCTTTAAGGGAACCTGTATGGGAAACCATGAGTTAAGCGCTATTTTGAGGGTGACATGTAGACGATCGTGTGGAGAGGAGATGAAGGGCTATGCGGTATTGAGAAGTCAGCCAAAAAGGATTTCACAGAACAGGATGAAATGAAGACACGCTGTTGAAGTCTTATAATAATAATAATAACTGATCGTAAATCCTTCGAAGCCAGAAATAAAATAGAATGCAATTCAGTGAATAAATTTTACTTTACGATAGCACATAATAATCAGTGAATATATCTTTGAAGAAGTCTCATACATCAGTGTTTGAATGAGAGAGTGAGTGGTTAGTATAATTACAACTGTATGCACAGTAACAAGAATCAAACGAAATAGCATCACAGGAATCTAATTATCCTGCAACTTTTGGCCGAGTAGTGGGCAGTGAAATTTGATTGGTTTATTTATTTGATAAACGTGTTATATTATAATTATTGTTCCCTTGGGCTCCAAGTGGAATATAGCACTGGCTTCAGTAACACATCTCCACTTTCTTCTATTTCCTGCTGTCCTATTCAGCTGACTAGCACCACGATTGACCATAATCTCTCATCTCCTCCTCCTCACCACCATAGGATCTCCTCCATGTCACACTCACACTGACGACCCACTTGTCGTTCTCCATTAGAACTCCACTCGAGCGGCATCATTCGACGGTTATCTCAAAGTATGCTTGATGAATGCATCTCTATTTTCTCCTACGTATTTGTTGAGCGATCGGCTGTTAGTTGGTTTGTTGCCGGAGAGAGTTACTTTTTGCTACTTCTTTTTGGTCATGTAATCTTCAGTATGGAGCCAGTAAAATGATCATCTGTTAATGAAAGTCTGTACTCTGTTGAAAGTGCTTTCTGTGGCACGCTGGCGATGTTTCTGACCTTTATAGAAGCTCTAACTGACTGACTTTTCGTTTGTGTTGAGAATACGAATCTTGTTGTTTATGCTGTGGAGTGAGTGCAGAAGATTTCCAAACTGATTTCAAGTTGATGAAGACGTATTTTTCCTTTCCGATTCTGGCTGGCAGGTTTTGACATTTTCATCCACGCTGTCCGACTACCTGGCTGTGCTTGGAACTACGCTTACTAGCCAGATAAATGGAACCAGGGATTGCCCCCTGTCAAATCTCTACTGTTGATGGTGGTCGACTGGTGCTGGTTGTTGGTGTTATTGTTGCTGTTGGTTAGTTGGTAGGTTATCTTCATCACCTCCATCTTCACCTTCCCCACGTTCACCTGGAGTCCTGTTTTCTCTACCTGCTTCTTCAGACAGTATGTTGGTTTTCGCGCTCCTGCAAGTCTTTGCCTTTGTATGACATTAAACATGAATCATCCACGTGCGAAACTCAGGTCTTCTAGAGTCATCTAATCGGTGGTCCGGCGTATTCCTGTCTTGTTGCTGCCCACACAATGTCTTTGGAATAATCCAGTTCACCACAATTAAGAATATCATCGTCGGTGATAACAGACAGACAGCCTTGTCTTACCCCTGTATTCACTTCAAGTCTAGGCTAAGCTGAGGTTTCCATTTTGGATCACCTGACATATGGCACTGTCATATAGCCAGCTGTTGAATGAGGTTGATAAAGACCTGGGTACTGCACTCCGTAGTGTTGAAGCAGTTTCCAAATTACTTCTCGGTCAACGCTCTCTGGTGGTGGCCTTTTCGAATCCGATGAAGTTGAGGTAGAGTGGGGTTTGTCTGCCATTCTATGCTTTGCTTGTAACGTATAGGCGATCAATATTTGTATAGTTTAAATTCTACCCAGCAGACTATCCAACTAGTCTGTAGTTACACATAACAGCATCATCCTATAAGGCTGTGCAATTGGAGTTAATATTTATCACAAACAGATAACAATATATCACGGATAACTTACTTAGAGATAAACTATATCTATTGTATTCTTTAATCAGAATTAAGACACGAACTTACAAATAAAGAAATTATGCACGAATATATACTTTCTAATCTCGATTCGATACATATAATAAATTGAGAACAGATATTTGAAGGAGTCACTTAACAGAATGCCTTACATGTCTGAGACTCCTAGCTTATCGGCATTCGTCAATAGGGCTTTAATGCAGCGTTGACAAAAGCTATTATTATTCCCTTGGCTTCCAAATTAAATATAGGGCACCTACAGAACAACTCTAGCTCACTCTGTTGTTCACTGGTTCGACAATTGCCCATAAGCTCTAATTTCCTCCCAATGTGATCTCAATATCAGCCTGGCACCCATACTCGCATAATCGCCTTTCATTCAAGTTTCCCCTGGCAGCTTTTTTCCTGGCACATGATGTTACTCACTGATGTCCTCTGTGGGTGTACGATTAATCTCCAATTCCTTCCGCACATTTGCTGGGCAACAAATTGTTGGTTGGTCCTCTGTGTTAGCCAGATTTCTATTAGTGGTAATCCTTTTAGAATGACCAACTGATATTCATTATGGAGTGAAACGGACAGGGGTTGATGAAAGTCTACAACAGCCTGTTGGGATTGCTTTTTATGAGACGCGAAGTCTCTCAACCGTAGAGAGGGAGTGACTGATTTGACCTTAGTACTGAAGATCAGGATCATGCTTCTTGTGTTAAGTGCAGTATATTTCCACTAAAATCGACAAAATGCAACAATTAATGACCCAGTTATCTATTCATTTACTCTACAATTCAATCTACTGATGACTAATATACAGCGATCTAGAGGAATCAGAATACATGTTCACAAGGACCACTCTCCGGTCACAGTGGTAAGGACTCTCGCTGACCATGCACATGGTCCGGGGTTCGATCCCCTGCCGACGCACACCCGATATTTATGGTCGGCCTGCAAAATTTGGGCTACCGATATCCATGCTGAAAATTCCATACTTGTACTTAAAATACGGTGTGGCAACTAGCTGTAATGAAAATTAAATTAATTATCCATACATAGACACAGTCGAATTCTAAAAGATTCTATCGGCATGTAAATAGAATGACAGTAGGAAGGAAAACTTACTTCAGTACTACTAATTGATGAATGTTTTCATTACGGATGGAATACGGCTTTTTACAAAACTGAACCATTCAATTTAGTTCCATTATGAGTAAAATTAATTTTGACAAAGTCTCACAATGCTATACAGTTATATTTACTGATGACCACGTTTCGAACACAATTTACTGCTCATAACTATATCACCTTGATATGATTATGAGCAGCAATAAACTGTGACACTTTGTCAAAATAAATTTTACCCATAATGGAATTATACTCTACTATAGTGAACAAGTTTTATTCTTACATTCAATTTAGGACTGATAATTAAGGACAAAAGAAAGGGGGAGATGGGACAATGACTTTTACTTTACGAGATGAGCCCTTTGACTATGCAAGCCCTAGACTGGAATTCACTGGCTGTGTAGCCCTAACCCACATAGTCCAGTGGATTTCCCCTGTACCACACAACCACATACAAACACACGTACATGGCTTAAATAACAAAACAGACGTGCTGTTCACTAAGTAAGAACCTAGAGCTTCAAGCTAGAGCCTTGAATTTTCAGTATCGTTGGTGTTCTTTTCTTACGTAGTTGGATTGCTAGTCTCTCATCTAATCTTCCTTTTTAATCAGGCTTATTGGCTAGGTGCATCAAAGATAGGACTTCAAGTGAACATAGAGAAAACAGAGGTGATTAAGATTCCTGGCCAACACCAACAGCAACAACAACAACAGACAACAATCGGCATAAATGGGAGAAATCCGAAAGAAACTACCCCCTTTACCTACCTGGGAAGCATCGTTTCAACTACAGGCGGACGGAACTGACGAGGATATCAAAGCAAGAGTTGGAAAAGCAAGACATGTTTTCGCTACTCTCAAGTCTGTGTGGAGGTCAACAGCACTCAGCATCGAAAATAAGATCCGGGTTTTCAACTCCAATGTGAAGTTGGTCAGTGCTACTATAAGGATCAGAGACTTGCACTGCGCGTCATAAAGAGCATCTCAAACAAACTACACGCCTTCATCAACAGTTGTCTTCGCTCAATACTCAAGATCAGATGGCCAGAAAAGATCAGCAACAGAGATCTCTGGCAATGAGCGAACCAACCCAGCAGGAACCGATTGTGTAACAAATGTGCAGCAAGAAATGTAGGTGGGTTGGCCATACTCTGAGAAAACCACCAAGTGACATCACAAAACAGGTCCTCGAGTGGAAACTGAAAGGGAAGCGGCGAGTTGGTCGTCAGTGTTGGGGTGACTTGAAGGAGGTCATGTGAAGAGGAGATGAAAACGTGTGGGCAGACTTGGAGCCAGGTGAAGACTCTGGCAGAGAACCGAACGCAATGGAGACGCGTGGCTGAAGCCATATGTTCCTCTAGGAATTAAAGGAAACAATAATAATAATTGGCTAGGTGAGGTTTATTAGCGCGTTGTTCAGGAATCAAGTTTAGTTCATGTGCTTGGTTGTAGGACATTCTGTCACTGAACTATAGAAATTAACTTGCTGAATACTTGAGGATTCATAACTAAGTATTCAGAACGTATCACCTTTACAAATTTCTTTCTTCTTTTCTCTTATAATTTCATGATTAAAAGGGTTCTATTCGAAATTTCATGTTAACATCAAATCAAGATGTAATAAAATCTGAATTATCACAGTGTCCATCATGGATATTATCAAAATCGTTGAACAGAGATTCGCCTATACCAGTTGCTGTTTCAAATCTACCTCATATGCGGAGTCAATATATGAATAGGTTTGGAGGCGAGTATATTGCACCTCTCAATAAAATGGATGCATCAAGTCAATGTAAGTGAAATTAGGCGATTTATTATTTTCTATAGTTTGGTTTGTAAGAGTTAGTTTTGTTTTTATGAGTTGATCACGGATTGATATCAGTTAGAGAACCATTGAAAACCAGCCACAGGGATTAATGGACAGCTGTTTCATCAGTCTAGTTTGGGAATCATCGGCAGTACGCAATCACTGTCAGGGTTCGAACCCAGGACCTTCCGGTTACAAGGCTAACTAGCTCGTTTACCATTCAGCCACTGGGACCCGACTTAATGGCTCATGAATTCTAACTTCTACCAATTCGTGATTTAGCGTGACTCCAACCACTGTCGTTGGTGGGACATCCATCCACACACGTGACATCTAATTGGACTTCACTGGTCACGAATTCTCACTGGAACTCCGGGAAACTCCATCTTTTAGCAAGTCACTAGCGAGCATCAGATTAATTTTCTATAGTTTGGTTTGTAAGGGTTTGTTATGTTTCTACGAGTTGATCACGGATTGATATCACTTAGTGAACCATTATTCGTTAACTTACCTCGCTTCTACTAAATACATAATCCTGGTAAGGATTAACAATCTAAGTCAAGAGATGCCTCTCAGTCTTCAGTTGAACTTTCTGATTTTCGTGTGCTTGTATGTGTGTGTGTGTGGCAATGTCTTTACCGATACCGACCAATAGATACTGCCTTGATGTGGTGGTTGGCCTTGTTTATCCCAATAGCCAAAAATGCTCTGCTGGCTGGAAGGAATGTTCTTGCATGTCGGACCATTACAGAAAGGTCGTCTGGATAGCGGTTGGACCAGTGGTTAGTCTTTTACACTATGTTGAGTTTGGAGGGTGACATCGTACACCCAGTGGATACGGATGTAGTAGTAGTAAGGCGTTTCTCTGAGCTTATAAGCAGGCTAGATATGCTGCCCCTCCATTGTGTGGAGAGGATTTCAAAAATTTTGGCTCCTAGAATTGTACATTTCGGCTTACCTAGCAGTGGTTTATGGCCAGTGGTATGATTTTCTTTTTAACACAACTCCAAAAATCAATTCCAGCAGTTGGTCACTAGGCCTCGTGGTCAAACAGCACTAGTGCTCCTTCTGTTCCAGTTATTGCACGGTTTGATCTGCCAGAAAGTAATAACTACACCATAGACACACATTTCCACAAGCACAGAAAGCTTCGGAATCAGTCTTTGTTATGACTAAAATTCACTATTCATTCCTTTAAAAAGATAATTAAGAAAGTTAAAGATGAATTATACATTAAATCAAGGTTATATTAACAAATCCAGGCACCGAACTAAGAGTTACTTGCACAACTTGTACAACACACCCAAAGTATACAGACATAGTATTTGACCCCTTCCAATGACATTCAGTCGTGAACTAGCTGTTAGCGATCCTCAGACCAGTGAAGAACAGACTGTTGGTTTGTGATCTTAGAAAGGTATTCGAGTTTGCTAATTTAAAATAACAGCTTTTAAGTCAATGTACTTTCTAATTCTACGTGGATTTCAACAATTAAATCTTTAAGAAGACGGTCAGTTTACTGACGTTTCCACTTTTCAGAAGCCTTCTTGTTTGACTTATTTTGTGATAAGTCGAGTAAACACCTGACTTATCGACAATAAATCACTTCAGTCCTGTGACAGATCCACTGACAAAGTTTATCAAAGAAGGGATGGTATGCTTTGAATTTGCTCTGTCTGATAAATGTGCAAAGATTCTTCTCCAGAAATCGCATGGCTTTGTCTCTGTATCAAAGTTAAGTTCTGGTTCCTTTTCAAAGGTTTGACAGAATACAATACAGCCTAACCTTAAATACGCTTTTTCTATCCGCTTCGTATCCACTGTCAATCAAATTATAGGAATTTGAACTTCTGATAGACTTCTTTTCATCTGCTCCTACTGAAGAAGGAAACTGCAACACAGATGATGATGTCGGAGGTTGGATCGGAAAAACAAGATAGACCTTCACTAATCTGAAATCAATGTGGAAGGCTACTACACTCAATATAACGAACAAGATCAGGATATTCAAGCACTGCAGTGCTTCTTTGCTATTTGGAGAATTGGTGTAGCACAAAGATCATTTTCAATAGGCTGAAAACATTTATCATCACCTGCTTTCCTTGGTCGGATACCGGATAACAGATAGCCAGAAATGATTGATTGCAAAGAACTTGGGGAGCGAACGGAACAAGAACCTATTACCCAACAAATCTGTGGGAGGTTTTGGAGATGGATTGTACGCACTCTGAAGAGACTGCTGAATGTCAACACGCGCCAGACCATCGAGTAGAACCCGAACTCGGGACACTGAGTTTGGCGTAGCGTGACATGAAAGAGATAGCGTGAGAGGGGAAATGAAAGCTTTTCGACAGTTGGGAAGTCAGTTTAAGAATACTGCAGAGAACAGATTGAAATGACATTTCGCTGCTTAAGCACTATGTTCTATGTAGCACCTATGTCTCCCTAAACGTAACAAAAAAGGAACAATCTGTCGCTCATTAGTTTCCACGGAACTTTCAGTTTCTATCAAAATAAAATCAAAGTAAATCTATGAAGATAAGAGAAATATAGCTTTTACTGCAAAGTTAAGGTTGCATTATATTTCTCACTGTGAAGTATGTACCCTTACAACATAAACTAACAACTTTCACTATCAGAGAGAACTAGACAGTTGTTTCGTCCTTGTTCGGGACTCTTCGGATTCATCAGAAGTACGCACCCAGCTCCAGAGTTCAAACCCAAGACCTTCCAGTTGTAAGGCAAGCTAGTGGACAATTTAGCTACTGGAACCCAACTCAGTAGCCCTTGAACTCTATCAGTCCGTGATCGACAGTGGCTGAAGGTCACGCTAAAATCACGAAACTAAATGGCTGAAGTTAGAATTCATGAGCCATTGAGTTAGATTCCAGTGATTAAATCGTCTACGAGCTTACCTTGTAAACGGAAAGTCGTGGGTTTGAACCACGGTTGTGGATACGTACCACCAGTGAGTCCCGAAGTGGGATGATACAGCCAATCAGTATTCCTGACTGGTTTTCAGCGGTTCTACGACTGATATCAATCCGTGATCAACTCGTAGAAACATAACTAACCCTTACAAACCAAACTATAGAACAATAATCTGATACCCGCTAGTGACTTGCTATAGGATGAGGTTTCCTGGAGTTCTAGTGAGGTCCATCCAGATGTAATGTGTGAAGGGGATCTTTCTAACCGGTGTTATCTGAATAATTAGGTTGTTTCTCAGCCAACTAACTTACAAGGAGCATCCATCATTTATGAAAAGGACTAAATGGGCAGTGTCCGGCAAAGAGGCTCTTTTCTGCGAGTTCATTTTCATCTTTAGCTGTACAGTGGCATTTGCGTACAACCTTTCACTAAAGAGGACTGCAAGAGAAGTGGTGAGTTATCATAATCATAGCTTTAAATATGAATCTATGCATAAGAGAAGTTTAAAATGGGTTACATGATGAGGAAAATAATTTAATGATTGAGTTACCATGATAGTAAAAAGTAGTTAGATGATCCCCTTCTGTGTGCAGAACTCACGTTTCTCTATCTGAATGGCTAGGGCTTCACCTCTACACATAGGAGATGAAGGTGTATTCTTTTTTACCAGGTTGTTCTTCACTTTCTAGACTACTCTGAAGAAAGACTTTGTTGAAATGAAACGATTAGTGTTGCAGAAGTGTTCAGATGTTACAGATGAAATCTTAGGAAGGTCTGTCCATAAGAAATCTACAAAAGGTACAGTTAAATGACACTATTCTACAGTTGGGTGACTATTGAGCAAACTGAAATTTGATTAATTCCTATGCCACTCACATCCAATATATCTCTGGCCCTGTTGCTTCAGAAGAAAAACGAGATTTGGATTTGTAGCTCAGGTGGATGACGTCCATGACATATCTCATGGACATCTTCCAAAAGAATGGATATCCACGTAATTTCATCAAGAGACATATACCCTCAAGCCAGCCTACCAAACCAAAAGCCCCCAAGGAAAGCATAAAGAAAATCACCCTACCTTATATAAAGAATATATCAGAAATCACTGCAAGACTCTTCAAACACCTTTAGGAATTGACGTCGTACACAAACCAACAAAATTGCTTCACTCAGCTAGCTCTGTGTCAACCAAAAGAAGATAAAACCAACATCATCTACAGAATAAATTGTAACAACTGCGAAAAACACTACATTGGCCAAAGTGGACAACGTCCCCTTCGTCTTCGTATCCATGAACATAAACTAGCCGTCAAAAGACATGACATCCACTCCCTCGCTGAAATCACTACATACAGACAACCACGGACATCAATTCGACTGGGACAACCATCGTTTAAATATTAGACAGAGGAAACAACAAGAATGCTAGAGAATTTTTAGAAGCCTGCCTGGTATTCCAGTGAATCATTAATCAACAGACACCTCAAAACAGACAAAATTTATCAACCGATCAAAAGGAAACCTCACACACATACAGAGGATCAAAGTTCAAGTGAAAGAAACAATCAGTTTTAATACCGCAAGTAGCCTAGAGGGTGTGGAAACCCACAAAAACAACCAATCACGGCCAAGGTTACCGGGTGAGATGAACTCGTGGAGAAATCTAAAAGCTCACTTCAACCAATTGGAATATGCGCTGAAGATGTCACCTAGTAGGGTGATGAAAGCTTCGCAAATTGACTATCCAGCTGGCTCAGAGAACACAACCGCACCAAAAGAACTAGATCTTTTCAAAACTATATTCGTTCGAAATAGATAACTGCCGTTATTAATTATTGAAAAGATATCAAACCGAAATTTGGGAGTGCGCGAAAACCGAAACACCATTATTTCTACCAAAAAAAGAAAATTTAAATGAATTCTGATTTTAAGGGTGACTTAAACTGGGCTACTCAAAAGAGAAGAATTTCATTATTTTCAAGAGGAACATTTTTCTCAGTAACGCTAAGAGCAGCTTTCTCCCAGCTGTCCTCTGAATTAAAAGATACATTACAGTGCAATACTAGTCATACTGAGATACAAGCAGGTTATCAGTAGTCCATCAATTCAAGATGAACACAGATTCACTATCAGTTGGCAACTTTCATTTTAACTAATGCTTCGGTGGCACAGGCATAGAATGCTCACTAACCACGCCACATGTGGTTCCGCGTTCCATCCCCAGCGGGCGAGGCACTCCTCTTACCTTGTCAAGCCAGCAATAAGACCGGTAAAGGGGGAAGGATTGAGCACGAGGCGGCTAGTAGTCCCATCCTGTATAAATAAACACACACAACTGCTACCGAAACCTCAAAGCTCTGGTTTGAACCCCCCCCCACCTATGTTCCACTGGAAACGTAAAGGAATAATAAAAAAAAGAAAATTTTAACTAATTATCTTCTATTCGCTCGTTAATTCAGAATTGTAAGTTTTCGCTAACACGTTGCTTCTTCCCCTATCCTTCTTTCTTCTTCTGTCTTCTGTGTTCTAGTTACAAATACAATCAATGAGCTATACAGTATGTTGAATACACAAAAACATGCTATTGAAAGATTAATGCAACAGGTAAACCTTATTTCATTTTATGATTTCATGTATGTGTGAAATCCGCGCATGTGTATTTGTAGAGGTGAGGTGATCAGTGTTCACTTGTTTTCATTCTTTTTATTATTCCAAATGGAATTTAGGACTTCAGGCTTGAGGTAATGTAATTTCATTAATGAGGAGAGGTTTAGTTTCATGCTAACTGAACCTCCTCGCTTTTTCAAGCTTAGTATAGGTTATTGGTATTAGATGTTTGGAGGCAATAGGCCACAGGAAGCCTTGGACACCACCTTGGTTTCGTGCTAGTTGACACTCATCAGTCAGCAGGGCGTATCTGCAAGCACCTTGAAGGAACTCATGTCGCTTCTGGGATTCGAACCAGCGTCATCTAGTGCTACCTGCAGTCAGAGGCGTTACCATTGAGCTATTCAGGCTCGCGGGATTGCAGATACATACCCCTTGCTGACTTATGAATGCCAACTAGCGCGAAACCTAGGTGGTGTCCAAAGCTTCCTGCCGATCGCCTCCAACCATCTAATAGCAACAATTCATAAAGCACTGTGATGGTGAGCCACCTGGTGGCATGGTGGCCACATTGCAAACATGACTGATAGACTTCATTTTGCACCGAAGATAGAACTAGACACTTTACACTAATTACTGGCTAGCGCTCAATCAAAAATTAGTGTAGCTTAATAAACTAGGCAAGCTTTAGGAGTGCGGTGGCCGAGGATCGAACTCAGGGATCATAGGTATGGGTGACATGCATTTTACCGCAGAACCACCTACGCTCTACAATGTTAAAGTACAACATATTAGAAATTGATTCTGAATTTGTGTATTCCACTATTTGTGAACTGACGTATTGCCTGGTTGAAGCCAGCCAACAGGAAGCCTTGAACATAGGTGTCGTGTTTGTTTTCACCCTAAGAAGGAGCTGTTGGCGGCTCGGAAATTTGATTCTGCATTACCTAAAGAGTGTAGTCGAGGTAAATACCAATGTGCTATTCAGGCTGAAAAATGACCGCCTGGATACACTGATTGGTCACTACGGAATAACCTAACTTATTAGTCCAATCTCTAATCTCAGCGTATTCCTGGATGTCTCGGCATCTTGGTGTACTTAGTTTTCATGCCAAATCTACAGGAAGCCCCTGAAATTAGGTCCCATGCTTATTCATACTCATCAAATGGGTGCATCTGAGGCATCGACAGGAATTATACTATTTTTATCACGGATTTGATAATTTTGCCTACGTGACACCTTTCCATATATGTCTAGGGTCAAATACAGTTCATATTCATCGCTTCACAGAAATCAGCTTAGAACGCAGTTGTTTTATTGATAGCTCAAGCATTCCGTTTATTTTCGTAGATCTTAATAGAGCAAGAATGCATTAAGATGTAAAATTATTGAGTGACAGAAGACCCTGGAAATTTCGCTAAAGAGTGAATGGTTTCTATTCACATAACTATGTTACTAATACAATTAACCTTGACTGTCATCAATTGATAAGGACAGACCAATCTTGCAATGGTGACCACTCTCTGATTTCAGCAATGGATAAGGCGGATTTGAATTCCTGAGGGGATAGTAATCTCCAGAAGATTGCAGATAAGCCGTAATGACGAGTGATAACAAGCGAAAGATATATTAATATATGTGTAAAACCAAGTTTTACACATATATTAATATGACTTATGGTCTTCCTGTACGAAGACTTATCAATAAACTCACTCGACTTTCACAAACTGAAGCAAGATATGAAAATCATCGTATTTTCAACATTCGATGCCTAAAAATGAAATCATTCCTAAATATCTACGTCTACGAGCTCCAGTTCCAACGGACAGAGTTAGAAGCAGAATAGAAAGCCTACAAAAATTATGCCTGAAAGAAGAAATCCACAGAATCGTTAAAAAAGTTGCAACATATCAGATCTGAAATTGAGCAATTAAAACAAAAGATAAAAGGAATAGTTACCAATACAGATTATGATCTTATAACACAGTCCTCCAGCATCGCAAAATCAGCAACTTTCAAAAAGTCAAAAAATAGTCAAATCAAAAGCGAAAGATATAGTTTCAGGACTTTCTATCAGCTACCTGCAACCAGCTAGGATCACTACAAGGTGCATTTCGATGACTAGTCACACTACAACAGTGACTGATAGAATTTAGAAAACAGAAAGATTGAGCGAAGAAATATTTACTCCTCACCTCTGGCTCTACTCTAATATATATCCATAGCATTTTTATGACAATACACAACAGTTTACCAATCAAGTGGCACTGATATGTTTGTTAACAATAATTAAACAGTGTCAAAATGTCAATGGCTTGATAATTAACGAAGAAAATCAATACACACAATTAAAAGGTAGCAATGGTTAGAATTAATTAATTTTACAAGGATAACACGTAATTAAAGATGAAGTGGTCAGAAAAATAAAATAATTTGGACAATTATAATTTTTATACTTTTAAAGGTTTAGGGCGAGGGGGCGAAGTAGTCCGGTTTATACATTCATGTAACGATGGCCAAGGTAAGGAAATTGGCTGTACAAATTTCTTCTGAACACACAGGTTTGTCTTCTTCAGGTGGATTTCTATTGCTTCAGCTGTATGTAGAAGACGAACTCGTAGAGCGAAATTAAGATTAGTAGGAATGCGATAAATAATCTCGAATGCAGTATTAACATCAGCCTTATGCGCACTATTTACAAGGTGTGATAAAATGGAGCTACGAATAGATTTTGTTTGTCCCTTGCTTAACCATGCTGGATGATGTTCGGAAATACGATGGATGATGAACCTGCCCAATTGTACGCCCAATGTAGCTGGCTCCGCAGCTTCAGTCAAACTGGTGGATACACATAGAGGAGGCAAATTTAGGTAGTTTATCCTTATTTCTCGAACATATAATAGGGGTGGTTGTGAAGAAACAACGTACCTCTGCTGCATAATAAGCTCTTTTAACTGCATTCTTCAGGCGCTGTTATGATTTCGCTGATGTTGTCACCGACGAACTGCAGTTTTATGAACGTTGGTTTTTTCAAAACTGTTGCCATACTGACTCTCCTTGGTGCTGAATTCATATTTTTCTCAATGAATTTATCTGGATAACTATTTTTTCTAAGTAATTTTCTAGTAATATTAAGCTCCTCATTGAGCCACTCGTCTGAACAGATTAACCTAGCTCTATGAACCAAACACTTTATCAGGTTACGTTTATATTTCAAAGGTACAAAACTCAAAAATTGAGTGTACTGACCTGTTGTTGTAAGTTTCCTATAAACACTCCTTCTTAAAGGATCCCTGTCTAGGAATGAGATACTGTCATTACTTTCTTTCTCTATGGCAAAGTTTATTGCTGAATGTGCATCATTAAACTTTTCAAGGATATTCATTGCATTATTCTCGTCTTTCATAACCAGAAATGTATCAGCCATACATCGACAGTAGAAATCCAAACCATTCTCTAACTTAGCGAGGAAAACATCAGCTAGGATTGGACCTAATGGGTAACCCATAGCTACACCATCAATTTGTCTGTAATATTCCTTATTGAAGAAGAAATGTACATTCATTGTACATCTTAAAATAAGTCAGGAAAACCACTAAGGAATAGATGTGACAACTAGCCAATATCATCAGCCAGTATCGTGAAATGAAAGAAGTTGGAATACATGAATCCATTGGATTACGCCCCAGTGGATGCGTACTACTGAAGAGTTCCAAACCAGGCTGACGAAACAGCTGTCCAATACTCCCTGGTGGTTTTCCAATGGTTCCCGATCCGATGTCAGTTAATGACGAAATCTTGTGACCAATTAAATTCCATACAAACCAACACTTGAACAGGTATAGATTACTGACATTCGAGTGTCGACTTAGTATCATATAGCTGGAACATCTCATCCTGTTCACCGTCACCACTACATGCCTAAATTAATAAAGTTCCGCTGACTGAAACACCAAGATTTTGACTTCATAATCAAACCAGTACGCTGAAGAAGTGTTAGGCATTGAATGGAAACACGCTGCTGCTTTAAATCGAGAATAAATCCACTGAATGCAGCCATTTTAGTGTGGGTTAAGGTATGAAATGCAGAAAAAGTCAGAATCTAAGGAGGGAAAACAGCTAGATTACTGTGAGACTTCGAGGCGGAGACTGAGTCGGTTATAAATAGTACTGACAGTTCAGTAGTGGAGCGATTTGACAGCTCCTTCATTCAACATTCTTTTTGAAACCATCTCATAATATACTACTTACAAATTTTAATCGTCAGTAAACACAGTTTGATATATTTATATATATTCACGTAAGCTCTCAATATATTTGAATTTATAGGTATCTGAATTAAACATGAAAGTTGCATCTCGTGAACAATGTCTTTGTATTCCGAACTGTGGAAAATCCGCGCATGGTATACCCTATTTGATTGGCAATACATGGAAACCTGATGCATGCAGTCAATGTGAATGTACTGTGAGTGATTTTGAATGTAAAAAACTTTTGAATATTTTTATTCTCGTGAGTAAATTATGTAATACATAAAGTCACAATGAAAAAAATCCAATGTAGATCTTGTCACGAATTGATAGCAGTCGGTGACTTCCGGCCCAAGTGGATGAATGGTCAGTGAGTCAGTTTTCGTGACTTAAATATTGCAAATTCGGTCCCTTGTGGGGTGGTGGGTGCTCTTTTCTGAAGATTTCCAGAATAAGATGGAACAGCTGTCCTATTTTCCCTGGTTTATGACGCTTCTCTGTCTGATTTCGGTTCTTGACGGAAATTTGACAGTTGAAAATAATCCAAAGTCCCCACAAATCTTATACTGTCAAGGAACTTAAACCTTAGTTCCTATAATTTGCAAAGACACTCCGAATCGATAATTACTGTGAACGATTATCGACTTTAGCTCCAAAGCACAAGGACTTGTTTTAAGTTGTACTGTTATTATTATTAATATTGTTCCCTTGGGTTCCTAGTGAAACACAGGGCTTCAACTACACGTCTCCATTTGCTTCTGTCTTCTGCTGTATTTTTCACTTTCATCCATGTTAGTCCAAACTGTTTCAACTCCTCTTCACACGATCTCCTCCATGTCACCCTTGGACGTCTCACTCGCCGCTTTCCTTTCGGGTTCCACTCGAGAACTGGCCTGACGCGCGATGTCACCCAGTGGCCTCCTCAGCGAGTGTCCAATTCATCTCCACTTTCTCTTGCATATTTGTTGAGCGATTGGTTCTTGTTTTGTTTGTTCCACCATAGTTTCTTGTTGGTGATTCTTTCCGGCCAGCTGATCTTCAGTATGGAGCGAATACAGTTAGTTGTTGATAAAGGTCTGCAACAGGCTGTTGGAAATATTCTTTGTGACCCGCCAAGTTTCTGATCCATCCGTATAGAAGAACTGACTGATTTGACGTTTGCATTGAAAATCCGAATTTTGTTGTTGATGCAGGCTGAGTGACGAAGATTTCCAGATTGGTTTTAGGTTAATGAATGTGTTTCTCGCCTTCCCAATTCTCGATTTGACATCCTCGTCCGTTCCACCTGCCTGTAGTTGAGACAATGCTCCCTAGATAAGTGAAGTGAATGAAGTAACCTCTTTCAAATCCCTCCCGTTGATGGTGATAGGCGCTGGAAGATGCTGTTGTTGTTGTTGGTTGGCTTTTTTTCATAATCTCCATCTTGTCTATGTTCACCTGGAGTCCTGTCTTCTCCGGCTGCTTCTTCGACCAGTTTGTTGGTTTTCGCTTGTAAGTCTTCGATTTTGTGTGACATCAAACATAAATCATCATCCGCGAAATCCAGGTCTCCTAGGTTCCTCACGTCGGTCCAGGATATCCCTGTCTTCTCGTTTCCCACTGTCTGACGCATAATCCAGTCCACCACAATTAGGAATATCATTGGTGATAATAAGCACCCTTGTCTGACTCCTGTGTTTACTCCAAACGCCTCACTGAGTTTTCTGTTGTGGATCACTTGACATGTGCCGTTGTCGTATAGCTGTTGAATAAGGTTGATGAATATTTGGGGTACGCCATAGTACTTGAGTAGTTTCCAAATTACTTCGCGGTCAACGCCTTCTCAAAGTCTATGAAGTTGAGGTAGAGATTTGATTGCCATTCCATGCTTTGTTCGATGATAATGCGTAGAGTTGCAATTTGGTCAGAACATGATTTGCCTTTCCTGAATCCAGCTTGTTCTGGTCGGAGTTCTGTATCCAGTGCGTCCTTTATTCTCTCCAGGATGATGCGACTGTACTGTTCGGCAATTAAAATCGATATCGATACAAGGTCTATAAACAAATGTTTTACAAGGAATGTATTGCACTTTTACTCGTATTCTTTCGTCTTCTTCCAACTTGTACACGATTGAATCTTTCGTGCCTTCGAGTTACCTGACAATGGCGACCAAGGTCAATGAACCAACGTTCAATATTCACATTCATTTACACTTCCTGGCAAAAAAAGTCCATCTTTTTTTTTCATCATGGCGATAACCTTGAAATGAACTGCCAACGCGGGAGCCTGGGCCAACCGGGACTAAGCTAAACTGGAAAAACAAGACAAAAAAATATCTAACACACAACAAGCATACCACAACCCACCAGTACGCTCTCCCCGGCGTGTAGGATCTTCCTCAGTCATCGGAACACCATTCGCTCTCTGTCGATAGTACCACCACTGGTCTGGTCCTCGAGGTGTTGGTTGCTTCAAGTCACTCTTGCACCGTCCGCCTCCCCAGCGTATCAAACCGCGTACAATGACTCTAACACCACTCAATTTTTTCACAACTGCAGAAGACTGGAAACGACTTCAAAAGTACTTACAATAACATTACAAGATGATTCGCACAATGCAACAACTATAAAATTAACCAGCAATTAGATGAATTGGAGCCCACACTAGTACTTAACACAAATATATGTACAATCAATACATCAAACGTTGTGGATTCTGCCTTGACGAGCTACCCTTGAAGAATTGTAGGACTTACAGCAGTACGCCAACAACCCTTCTCAGGTTGACGCCCTAGGTTGGAAAATCGTCGCAGGGTTCACTTGCTGACCTCATTCTATCATCTATATACTCAACTCTGAATGCTGACACGCCCATGACATTGTAATGTGGAATGCAGATGATTGACAAACATACGACGTATCACACAACAGTCGGATTCACCCATATCAGTGCAAAGTGGATGGACACTCCTCATCATGCAAGTGACTTGAAAAATAATAATAATAATTTGCTTTATTCCAAAAACAGTACTAGTGGTACACTGTGGAATTTTCAGCTCATATCTACAATATTTGCATCTAATTTTACAGACATTTAAAATAAGTATTAAACAAACAAAAAAATAAATCTGAAGACACCAACAGCAAAAAAAACAGGATAAACACAAAATAATTATAAATGCGAAAAAGTACCAAAATCTACCAAAGTCTAATGCAGTGTTTGCAGTGGTAGTGTGAGCAATCCTGAATAATATAAAATTTTTTTAGGTGGTAATTATGGCGTTCACAACCAATGATTGTCAGTTTAATATTGCCGAAAAGTATGGAAAATAAGAAAAAAACAGCCACAAAACTAATAATTACATGATGGTTAATGACAGGACAATTTTGTAATACTCATAGTGCAAATAGAGTCGGAACCAGTAGATACACAAAAGAAGGAATACAGTAAAGTACAAAAAAGGAAGCCAATGTTAATAATTTAGGTAGCTAAGTATGTTTGAGAAGGAGTTCACTAAAGAATACAAAATAAGAGAGAAATAAAAGAGCCTAAAATTATGTTGTTAATAACAGAGTAAGTCATAAGTTTCAAGCTTAACATTGTCTCTGTCGCTTAGAACACGGGCCAAGTATGGTATCGTTGAGATCCTGTACCTGGTTGTACGAGCATATATTATTTTGTACTGATTTCTGGTTCTACCTGATGGGATACAAGGCGAGAGTTGGGAATTGAGCGGGTGTTGGGGGTCGGAGAATATGGTTTGTGACCCTTTTTCGCATGTATTCAGATGCCTTTCAACTAAAGTAGTGACGAGATGACTAAGTTTTACACCACTAGTCCTACTAACTACCTTCAACATCCTTCTCAGGATGGCATAGTCCTTTTTCAGTAGCCCAGGAAAGACTAACGGGGGGCAGTAAAGTGGAATAGGTAAGATACAATAGTTGACAAACTGTGAAAGTAGAGGTTGGGTGATTCCAGATTGTCTTAGTTTCTTAATGTAATAGGTAAGACAGAACACTTTCTTAGAAATCATTAGGATATGAGATGTCCAAGTAAGGTCGGAGGATAGAACTAGACCGAGGTATTTTGCACTAGACTTAGTTTCAATTTTAGTCCCCTCAATGCAGCAGTCTTCAATGTTTAAATATTTAGATCTATACACTTTGAATTAAATCATTGTAGCAGAAATCACGCGAAGATGGAATTTAATATTTGTCACTCAGTGATTATGACTTGTGTAATCCATAGATGTTGTAATCAGTACCCCTTCAAACAACTATCCAATTTACTTCTAATAGAATAGGATTCTTAAATTTTTATTCAAATAATCCATTCCTCGTTTTTTTTCTTCTCTTTGAACAGTTGGCAGGTGCCTTATGTACTCAGAAAAAGTGCCCCATACTGAATTGTACAAATTCTATTAGAATACAGGATGAATGCTGTCCGCATTGCCCAGGTAAGAAAAAATGTATAGATGTACAGTTTTTTTACCTGCCTTTTACTCTTCGTAATAATAACAATGTTACCAATATATTGAATGAAATGAAGACATGATCGATCGGATTAGAACTGGAAGTTTCCAGTTCTGTATTAAATAAGCCAGGAAAACGAGAATTTTAAATATTTCATTGTTTCATTAAGGATCATATCAAGCTGTCACGTGTTTAGATGATACATAACTGTCCTTTTAAGAAATCTTTTCATCATTTCCTGAACGACCTCTAGGTGTTCATCGGTGGCACAGCGATAGAATGCTCTCCAGCCACACCGCATATGGTTCAGGGTTCGACCCCCTGGCCTACGAGGCACTCCTTTACCTCGCTAAGCCAGTAATAAGAATGGTAAAGAGTAAAGGTTGGACACGAGGTGGCTAACAACCCCATCTCGTAAAAATAAACACCACTACTACTGAAACTTTAAGCCTCTAGCTTCAAGCAGCCCTATGTTCAACCGGGAACGTAAAGGAATAAAAAGAATACCTCTAGGCAGAGAATCATTGGAAATCAAAGGTCGCTGGATGCATTGCCCCACCCACCTGCTATTAAACGCAGAGTCTTCAGATTATTAAGCGAGTTTGCTTATTATTCAGCCATTGTGTTAGAATTCACTGGCTGGTCCATGAATTCGAACCTCTCCCAATTCACAATATGCAGTGCAAGTATCTAACCAATTCCCGATTTTTAGTCTGTAGGGATTTGATTGGTCCGAAATGGGATCACTGTTTGGTATCAGTTAGAGAAGTATTGCAAACTTGGGACCACAGGTCATTTTTTTCATTCTTATTTGAGATCCCCTAGAAGTACACATCCATAGCCCAACTGGGGGGTCTTTATATCATTTAGAATCAGAAGAGAAGCTTGATTTTAGATTTTGACGAAACCAGTCAAGATGATCTTCGACTTTGCAACGGTGACTGATGTATTCTTTGATAACCAAAGTGAGATAGATGGTAACCGTGTTAACTAGTGGATCCTTTGGTTATTTAGACAATATTCTCGACTAGTTTACAACACGGTCACCGTGCCAGGTGGCTTGCCGTCGTGCTGCACTCTGAATTAACGTTAGATAGTTGAGAACAGTCAGCAAGAAGACCTGCTTGACCTAGATTTTCTTGCCTGTTGGTACTCGATAACAAGGCGTATCTTCATACCTAAAGGAAGTGATGTCCCTCTCCCCACACTCAGTGGTGCAGTCAAAGACATCACTAAGGAGCTCTTCACGTTCAAGACTGGCCATTTGTAGGACGATAATACGTACATTGACTGGTAATTAGAGAGCGGCCAATATCATGCTAATTGCCTACAGCCATTTAACAATCTGGTCAATATTTACAAACCCACTGAAGTATAGAAACACCAATTAGTCTAGTAGGATTACACACTTAGCATGAAACAATCTACATCAAAATGTCAAACGTATAAACTTTTATCCCATAAAAAAACGTGGGCGAATATATATTTGTAGGATTAAAACAAAGTTCACATCAACTTATCAGCTGTCTATAAATCACACAAGTTATCATAAATAAATATTAATTATATAACATACTTCAGAACTTTTTCAAACTGAAGGGTAATTAATAATCATTAGCGTAGTACAAGGGAATAGAATAGTTGATAGTGATATTATCAAACAGTCAGATGAATATTTCGATGGTCACGAGGACAAGAAAGATGTGGTTAGTCAGAGTAAATGTCATTGTGGTTTTCTTCATGAATTAGCATCAACTGAGGAAGCATTTGAAACCAGGAAGAACTAGCCAACCGTTTCGTCCTAGTTTGAGACTCTTCACCAATACGCACCTGTGAACCTATCAGGGATAAAACCTGGGCCCTTTGGTTTACGATGTGAGTCTGTTCACTATTCAACCACTTGTGACAGAACTCAGTAGCCTAACCTGACGTGGTGTATTCTGACAACTGGTACCTACATCTAATTACGACTTCAGAACATCCATCCTATAATGGCTGATGAGTCGAAGTTTAATGGCAGGAATTCTGAATAATTTCAATGCATATTCCATAAGTTACTACAGAAACAATCAAACAAATAAATGAGTGCAACTCAGTAAGTGAAACTGTGGGGCAACAAAAGTACAAATAGATCGAGTTACTGTAGGATTGGTAGTCACACACACTGTCTTTAGGTGTGTAGAGGTTACATTGTAATTCTTTGTCTGAAGGGATATCTGAGAGACATCGTAAGTGAAGTATTACTGTGTATACTGACCATGATGAAGGCTTCATCGGTCTCAGCTGTATGCCCTGTACAGATCAGCTGCATACCGTTTGCACTCGTAAACACTTCCTTAACTATCCTATCAGGCTTAGATGACATGGAATGTAAATGTGTTCGTTCTTGCCTTGTTCAGACTAATCAACGGAGCGCGATCCATGAAATTCTCTCTAATAAGTTTTTTGGAGTCAATTACTATAAACAGTGGGTCGAAAGTAACGTTATGAATTCATCAACAGTTCGAAAAATTTGACACTTAAGAAGATATAATTTCAGGTAGAATTCAGTCAGCACTGCTAAACACTTGACATACGACACTGGTCCAGTTAAATTCCTGAAAGAATTCAGTGGCTAATAACTCAATGATAATGTCTCTACCTTCACTACTAGATGGTGTAGACATGAATCACTGAAAGAACCTCAATCTCTTCGGGCTTGCACAAACGCCTTGTTGACGAATGCTTAAAAGCTTAACAGGGCCATGGTTTCCTGTCGATTATTTCTGACCAACTAGTATCACTTCAAAGTGCACCATAGTGACAGGTAAGACGCGAAATCGACTGAGAGAAGACAAGCTCGAGGAAATTAGAACTGCACACAGATATGCAGAAAGACATTCATTATATGCAGGAAGAAAGCCACTGAGAATGCCGGGAAATCTTCCAGTGATTGGTTGGCAGGGGTTTGATCGGTTATAGATCTGATCACGAGCTGATGTGAGCTAAGAAAAATATTTGAAATCCAAGGAGCAATGGAGATCTGTTTCGTCCAAGTTTGGAACTTTTCATCAGTACATGCTCATAGGGGTTTCCATTTCCATGAAAGCTTGTAGACCATTCAACCACTGAGACCTGATCCAATGGTCATTGAACGGCATACCAGATCACCTTTTAACTTGGAGGTCCTGGGTTCCATCCCCTTTGGGTGGATACTACTGAAGAGTCCCAAACCTGGACGAAATGGCTGTTCATTACTTTCTAGTTGTTTGTGGTTCTGTAAGTGATGTTACCTAGTGATCAGACATGATGGTAGGTAATTGCAAGAATCTAAGTAGTCAGTTTAATCCAGATGCTTCTGGTGAAGAAGCTATGGCTTACACAGCGTAACACTTGGAAAATTCATGGAATGATATTCTGTTAAACAATATCGGATCATTTTTGACAATTTTGTTTTTAAAAAGCCTCCTTTTTTAAAGAATTACATTATCTAAAACTTTTTTCTATGGAAGCTGTTCCTTTTGTGTTTTATGCCCTTCATATTTAGCTAACTGTCATTTCATGGGTCAAGTATATCCTCATGGAGAAAGTTTAATGCGAGGTTGCATCCAATGTGTATGCATGGTAAGTTGGACTTTGTATTTCCCGCCATAGGCGGTCTGTTTTGAATAGCTGCGCTACCTAAATTTTCATTCAGTATAATATTCTCTATTTCATACTGTTTTAATCGTTTTATTATGCTTTTTTGATAGCAATGTACACTAGCGCATATTTTTAGTATACTGTCAACGTAATGTGTAGCATATCCCATCAATAGAGATGAAAAAGAAATGTCCAAGAGGGTTGGATATTGCTTTAGATGGAACAACACAGCACCACGCAATGTACTGTCGAATAGGATTTTGATTGGTTGGAGGATTTCATCATGAGCTGACATCAGTTAGAGAACCATTGGAAAACCTGGGAGTACTGGACAGCTGTTTCGCTAACCTGGTTTGGGACCCTTCATTAGTGCGCACCTGTCCTACAAAAACAAGCACTTGAAAATTGATCTGATACTCACTAGAGACTGGTTCTATTCAGGTAGGCAGTTACCTGGGGTTCTATTGGGAAGCTGTGACCAGTAGCGTACAGCAGGTCGAAGGTGAGACAGTAACTAATCGAAGAAGATATTGCGAAGTGGTAGCGCTATGTCGTGCGTGAATTTACAGAAGTTAGAATTCATGGGCCATTGCATTGGGCATCAGTGGCTTAGTGGTCTACGAGCTCGCAAGCCTTGTAACCAGAAGGTCCTGAGCTCGACCTCCGTGCTTTGGGTGCGTACTGCTGAAGAGTCCCAAGCTCTTCTGACGAAACAGTCGCCTGTCTAGGACTTCATTAGGAAAAACACTTCACAACAATTAAATCTGCCCAGAGCAGTGGAAATGGATTGTTCCAATTGATAGGTGATTCAACTAAGGTAGGCGAAAATAAATATTCTGTTTAGTTGGCGATTCGAGTACGACCAAGCTGAGATAAAGATGGTGATATTTTACAGTTATCCGATTACATTTTAAATCACATGATGAATCACTAGATGATTACTATTCTAAGCCGATTGCTATCAGTCCCTCTCTTCATTTTTCCAGCATCTAGTCTTGTCATGGATATATTCAGGCAGTGGAATTCACCTTACTGTTCATATTTTCATTGAGCAAATAATTATTAGGTACACACTGTTAAAGCTTTGTAATAATTTACAGACGTGGTTCATGTCCTTGCAAATTACGAATGTTACATTATTTATTATTATTTCCTCGCCTTCCGAGTGAAACATAGGGCTTCAACAACACATCTACACTTCGTTCTGTTTTCCGCCGGTTTCTTCAGCTGGGTCCACGATTGACCAAACTCTCTCATCTCTTCCTCACACAATTTCCTGCATGTCAGCCTTGCACCGATGACCCACTCGTCGCTTCCCATTTGGATTCCACTCAAGCGATAGCCTGGTGTGCGATGTCATTCGACGGTCTCCCCAATGTATGCCCAATCAGTGCATCTCTATCTTCTCTTGCATATTTGTTGAGCAATCTGCTCTCGCCTATTGGTTTGTTCCTACAGTTCCTTATTGCTTATTCTTTCGGGTCATTTGATCTTCAGTGTGGAGCCAGAGAAGGCGACAGCTGTTGATGAAAGTCTGCAACAGGCTGTTGGAAATCCTTTTCGTCACACGTTAAGCTGCTAACCCCCATAGAAGAACCGACTTCACATTAATGTTGAAAATGCGAACCTTGTTCCTTATTCTGAGTTAATGCGGAAGATTTCCAAACTGGTTTCGAGTTGATGAACGAGTATCTTTCCTTTCCGACTCTGATTTTTGACATCTCCGTCCGTTCCGTCTGAAGTTGAAACGATGCTTCCCGGATAAGTGAAGGACGTAGCCTCCGTTAAATCTCTCCCGTTGGTGGTGATTGATGTTGGTTGTTGTTGATTGGTTATCTTCATCACCTCTTTCTTCTCTATGTTCACCTGCAGTCCTGTCTTCGCTGCCTCTTCAGCCAGGTTTTAGGTTTTCACTTGCAAGTTTTGGAGTTTGTGTGACATTACACATAAGTCATCCACACGCGAAATAGAGATCTTCTAGAGTCTTCTTATCGGTGGTCTAGCGTACTCCTGTCTCCTCACTCATCGCACACAGTCTGACGCATAATCCAGTCCACCACAGTTAAGAATAACATCGGTGATAGTAGGCAGTCTTGTCTTATTCCTGTATGCACTTCGAACGCCTAGCTGAGTTCTTCGTTGTGGATCACGTGACACGTGGGATTGTCATATTGACTTGAGGTACGCCATAGTGTTGAAGTAGTTTACAAATTACTTCTTGGTCTACGCTGAGCTGTTGAAGGCCTTCTCGAAGTCGATAAAGTTGAGGTACATGTTTGACTGCAATTCTATGCTTTGTTCGATGACGATGCGTAGAGCTGCAATTTGATCAGCAAATGATTTGTCTTTCTTGAATTCAGCTTCTTAAGGTGGGTGGAGTTCTGTATCCAGTGCATCCTTTTTTTCTCTCCAGGATAATTATGAATGTATCATCCAAATATTTTGCACAAAACCTAGTTTGTTTTGTCGGTTGTGACGTCAATTGGCATCATGTCATTTCATTCGCCTCCTACTCTCTCTGTCTTTTTTCATTGGATGGAGGTTAAGTACTCCTGAATGTTTAAGTTCCATTTTTATCCTGGTATTCTCGCCAATGTATACCATGTGGTGTTGATATGATAGATACAAAGGTTTGGGCGACGTTTAGTTACATAAGATCGCCTGTCACTCTTATCAAATCAATATTCTTTATTTCTGATCTGGAACAACTTACAGGTGAAACAGTACAGTCGGTGCCTAAAGCTATATTGTCTCCGTCAAAGCGTAAGAAGATTTCACGTGTACAACTTCTAATAGTGTATCCCCAGTTCGTACAGACATTTTTGCGAAAATTTCTCAACTTTCCTACCTAACAGTCTAATCTGGGTGTTTTTCCCTTATCTTGTATTATTCTTTTTAGAACGGTACAATGAAATGTCGTGAAATCAATCAAACTTTATACTGTCCACCACTGAATTGTAGTCAAAGTGAACAAATTCAACCAGCTGATAGCTGCTGTAAAATATGTCGTAGTAAGTTTTGCTGTGATTAATAAATATACAAACTGTTGGTTTTGTAGGGAATTCTGTTTGTTTGATTGGTTGGGGGATTTCATCATGAGCTGATATCAGTTAGGGAACCATGAGAAAACCACCTGGGAGTACTGAACAGCTGTTTCGTTAACCTGGTTTGGGACTCTTCAGCAGTATGCACCCATCGCCAGAGTTACAACCTATGACATTCTGGTTACAAGGCTAGCGAGCTCGTAGACCATTAATTCACTGGGATCCAATCCAATGACCAGGCCATGAATTGTAACTTCCTTGCAATTCATGACATAGCGTGATCATTTCGCAACATCTTCTTCGATGAGTTACTACCTCACTTTCAACCTGCTGGACCCTGTTGGTCACAGCAAGACCTGAATTTCGTGCTAGTTAGCACTCATCAGTCAGCAAGGCGTATCTACATCCTTGAAGAGGCTCATATCCCTTCTGATTTTTAAAACCACGTCACTCAGAAGGGATATGAATTCCTTCAAGGTTGCAGATACGCCTTTCTGATTGGTGAGTGCCAACTATCACGAAATCTAGATCAGGTAAGGGTTCCTGCTGATTACCTCCAACCATCCAATATTTCACATTTCAGTGTGCACCGTGATGGCGAGTCACTTCGAATGGTAGTCATATTGCCCACTTGACTGATAGAATTCAGTTTGTGCATTTCACTAGTTACTGACTAATGTCCATTCAAAATAAGGAGGAACCCTAATGGGCGGCGAACCAATCAAGATCCTTCTGCCCAACAAATATGCTGAAGGAATTGGAGATGGGCTGGATAAACCCAAAAGAGACCAGTGAACGAGGCTACACACTAGCCTGGACACCAATTGGATCCCGAACCGAAAACGATTAGTTCGATGACACTTCGAAGGTGACATGGAGTATATAGTGAGAGGAGGAGATAAAAGCTTGTGTGTGAGCAATCGTATAATTAGCTAACAAACAATTCAGAGAGCATGATGAAATATGAATTTGGTTTTGAAGCCTTGCATTCCACTTGGAGCCTCAAGGGAACAATAATAATCTTTTTCGCGGGGTGGGGACTGTCAGCAACGTCTTATGTACTCAACACAAAGGTTATAGATTACCAAAGAGATACTAGCTAGTCTAATCATTAGAATTTAATTTTAACTTATGACAATGATAACCTTTCAGCAACCAGTTAATATTCACACTTATTCATTATTACTAATATATATTTTTTTCTCTAAAATTCACCTCAGAGATTAACGTTTGTGCGCACAAACATAATAAATGTCATCCATTGGCAAAATGTATCCCAAATGGTATGACATATCATTGTGAATGTCCCACTGGTTATTCCGGATCTGGTGATCTTATCACTGGCTGTACACGTAAGTTAAACTGGATTAAGTATGAATTTATCTTTCGTAATCACATCGCATAGGATTGCATGAAATACATATACAATTAACTTAAGTTATCTGACTCTATTTGATTGATATTCAATATATAACTGGTCTAGCTTCTCATCAGTACCTGTACAATAGTATGTAAAGCTTGTGCACTGTGGTAGAGTGTAATTCCATTATGGGTAGATTTTGTTTTGATAAAGTCTCACAGTGTTATACAGTAATGTTTACTGATGACGTTTCGAGCACACCTTTAGGCATAAATCCGACCTAAACAAACTGGTTGGCTCACACAAGGTGTGCAGCAATAATGGCACTGAAATAGAAACCAATTCGGAAATTAAATACCTAGGCGTCATTCTATCTGCTGATCTCTCTTGGTCGTCTCATATCTTGACGATTTCTAAGAAAATATTCCGTCTTACCTTCTACATCAAGAAGTTAAGAGATTCTGGCATAACCCCCCAACCCTTACTCCTACAATTCGTTAACTCTCGCATTCTGTCTATTATTCTCTATTGTTCCCCCTTAGTTTTTCCAGGGCTACTGAAGAAAGACTATAACATATTACGCAGGATGTTAAAGGTTGTCAGTAGGGTAAGCAACGTGCCACTTAACCAGCTCGTTAATATTCTGGTCGACAGGCACATGGACTCATGTGAAAAATGGGCTAAATCCACTTTATATAACTCACACCACCCTCTTCACTCACAACTCTCCCCTTGCATCTCGTCAGGCAAAACCAGAAGCCTATATAGGAAACTACATGCTCGCACCAGCAAGTACAAAAACTCAACCATACCCTACTTAGCTCGTGTTCTGTGTGATAAAGAAAGCATTAGACGTGACACCTATAATTCATTAAATAGTCAGTAGTACAACTGGATCTCGTCTTTCCAACTCATATCATTTATAGGTACAACATTTTCTTTCTTTCTTTTCCTTTTCTCTCTCTCCTTTTTTTCCGTTATGTGCTGCTTTGTTTCTTTCTGTCGCTTACGCCAGTTAATAAGCCAGCTCCCACTTTTCTAACACCTTCAAACACTGTTTCAGCTTTACCTTTGCTACCGATATGCCAATGTATTGTTGTAATAATGAACTGAGATTTCCTTAATCTATGTAGAATTCTATTTATTGATAATGTATTAACTGGATGCAATACTATAGTAAAAATACTGAGAATTCCGTTTTGTATCACATGTACTGTTTTGGAATAAAGCATATTATTATTATTATTATTATTAGAAGTGGTCGCACTGTGTTGTGAATAGGCAGAATTAAGTATGCATGGACTAGCCAATGGATCGGGTTCCAGTGGCTAAATGGTCTACGAGCTCTCTAGCCTTATAATCAGAATGTTGTGGATTCGAACCCAGTTGGAGTGAGTGCCTACTGTTGAATAGTCCCAAACCAGGCTGACAAAACAGCCATCCAGTACTCTCTGGTGGTTTTCCAATGTTAGCTGATGATGAAACCCTTACGTGGAATTCTCAGTGACGCTGGAATAAGTCGGGGTGGCATTTAAACCAGCCAACTCTATCGGAGATAAACCTTGTCGGCTTAAGGACCTAACGGATCAAATTAAGTAAAATAATATATTATTATTTACCAAATACCATGTGATGACCGTGAGGTCAATTACATAGGTCAGATTAGTAGATCGGGGTCAGCTACATTATCGGAACATAAAAATTAATCTAAACATAGAACGATTGACCCTGCTAGGTAAAATAATCTAGAAAAAAGTTCATTTCATTCATTTGCATGTAATCACAAATTTGTGTGGGTGATAAAGGGTGAGAGTATTAAAAATTAGTATAATTAGTTGGAGAGAGGGAGAAATTGCTCACAGAATCTTTGTTTATTGACACAACACTGGATAATTGCAGTTGAAAAGATACAACGCCTATACCAGAGATACGGAAAGTGGCAACAAACAACAAGGGGAAGATGGAGGGAGAGAAAAAAAGGATATATAAGATAAACTGTGAAAACGTGTGACCGAACTGACATGATTATAAGCAATAAATTTCTTTTCTAAACGTTATCAAGTTATCAATATTGCATCATTGTGTGATATTTGAAATAAACATTAAGGAATTACATTCTACGACAGTACCGAAGCTCTACAGTAACATTTGTTGGGCACCACTTGTTCGGTTTTCTGAGCTGAATCAACCTAGATACACCACTGGTGAGCTCTTCGCCAAACGAGCGAAATGGGCCTTTCGTGTTCAGATCACTTCGATTTGTCTGGCTAATAAGCGGCATTAAGTGATGTGAGTGGTTTTAAAGTATGCTTTTTACATTTCTTTGTGCTCCGAGTGGATATTAGATCATATAGCTTCAAGTTTTGAAGTTTTATTACCGGTGGTTTAATTTTTATAAAGTGGGGATATAAGCCTTTCCTTCTAAACCTTCCCTCTTTTCTGGGCCTACTATCGGCTAGGCAGTTTCGAAGAGAATCTAACCCGTACCTCTATTATAGGCGGCTTGCTTGAATTGTAGGTTAACCTGAATTTCCACCTAACAATATCCATTATATTTTCTCTAATTCTTATTAGCTTAACCACTCAATTATGTCTTTGAGTAGCGAAATGTACTTGTGCATATTGGCTTTAACTGTCTTTCAAACTGTCAGCGGAAGTTTCGCAGAGACAAAAGAGGAATATAGTAGGGGATTAGACTAAGGGCACTGGACCATGTGGTATACTATAAACCGCTACTTTGCTCTCAGATCATGGATAAAAGGGAAATATTATCTGCCATAAATTTCATTGAGAATTCTATACACTGCGTATATCTTTTGTCCTGAACAAAAATATTTATTATTATTATCACTATACGACTGACGTACACGTTAAATCAGAATGATCTTTTTCATTGGAAAGTTTCACATGGCATGTTGACTATGAATTTGCATATTAATTTGTCAGTATGCGATGATGATCAGTGTTTGACGTGGACTGGGTGTAAGAGTATGACGGGTTCATTGAAGATTTGGATGGAGTGCTGGGCACGTGAATAGCTGCATAAGTGATGGGTGAGACAAGTATTCACTGATGTCGTGCTGACGCATTCGTTCCTGAAATCACTTACCACTGCCATGAGTCGAACTCGGACCGACTGACTGGAAGAACCATAGAAAACTAGAGGGTAGTGGACAGCAATTTCGACCAGGTTTTGAACTCCTCATCAGTATTTACTCATGACATCAGCCCCCGGCGTTCCGAACCAGGACTTTAAGTTAACATGGCGATTTCATTAAACAATCATTCACTGCCCTCGAAGGTGTTCCACACCATTAGCTGGCGACTGAGCTGTATATGGTGCATTGACGCCTTAATGGTCAACATGCTGGTTTTGTAACCCGAAATACTATGATTTAGTGCCCTGTAGTTTCTTGGATGAGCGTCACTGAAGAATCACAGACTAGGGAGAAACAGCTGTCCAATAATTTCTGTTTTTCACTGGTTCTATAACTGATTTCAGTTAATAGTACTGAAATCTAACTGGAAACTAGCTATACTTTTTCGCATTTCTTATTTAAACTTAACACTGTTTGCATAAAACTACATCAATGTCAATTCCTTTCAACTTGATTCACAGCTGAATGTAGGAATAATTGTTCCAATCATGGTGTCTGTATTTCACCTAACAAGTGTCAGTGTTATCCAGGATTTGGTGGCAGTGAATGTGATTATGGTAAGTAGACGGTTTCTAAATTCTGATCTGAATTCTTGATCTGATCTGATCTGATCTTACCTGATCTCATCGCCAGATCATGTACGTTTCTAGAAAGTATGGTATCACTCAGTCAGTTTCTACTTTTGCAGTTTGTTAATTTTTGTATTCTACCTTTTCTTGTTTATTATTGGTGGATGGTGACTAACAGTAGAATCCAGGATAACGCAAATTTCATCCTATTTGGTCCTCGCCAACTGGATGTACCTGCATTCCCCAGGTAGTGATGTTGGTGGTGTTCCCACCGGGGCTAGAACCCAGTGCCCATAGTTTCAAACACCAAAGCGTTATCCTATAGACCACCTGGGTCACGACAGTCACCTCCTGTGCAACTGGTTTTAATAAATCCCGAAATGCTCGTTATCAGGTTGACAAGTCAGCTTCTTGTGCAGATGCTTCGACGACGTATGGGCATGTAATTAGAAGTTTATTGGTGGATGGTGACTATCAGAGTAAAATGACTTCCGATTAATGAGGGTTTGTATTACTCTTCTGATCATGGTTAGGTTTGATATCCTCATCCATGTCGCTTGTAGTTGAAACGATGCTGGCTAATTAAGATAAGCGTATAAGGGAACGTCTCCTAGATTTCCACTCCTCATGATGACGACTGGTGTTTGCTGTTGTTTGTTAGGTGTCTTCATCATCTTTGTCTCCTCCCTATTGACTTGAGGTCTCGTCTTCACAAATTCTTACCTCAAATCGCTGGTTTTCTCCTACAGATTATCAAGTGGATGTGCAACACCATACATAAATTATCCGTGAGCTTCAAATCTTCCAAAAACCTTCTTCTCAATTAGATGTACTCATGTCTTCTCGCTTCTCACAGTCTGCAGCATAATCCAGTCCACCACAGTCAAGAATGTCATCTTTGTGATAATAGACAACCTTATCTTACCGCTGTCTTCACTTAGTAAGCGTCTCTGAGTTTCCCCTTACAGGTGCGCATGAAATGAAATCAATATCATTCTTTGAAAACAATTGGTAGATAGTGATTAACAGCAAGATCCAGGAGAACGTTCATTTCGTCCTATTTTGGACCCATCGATGGTTGGACATGCCTGTATTTCCCAGTGAGTAACTGATGGTGTTCCCAACTAGGCTAGAACCCAATGCCCATAGTTCCAAACGCCAAAGCGTCGTGATATCCACCTCTTCTGCAACCGGTTTCAATAATTATTTAATTCAATTTGAGATTTTCCAGTCGACTGACTGGACCGAATTGCTCGGTTTCAGGTTGATGACAAGTCAGTTCATTCTGCAGATGCCTCGACGATGTCTGTTCATGTAACTTGAAGTCAAAACCATAGCATTCTTCCCCTGAAAGTGCATCTTTCACCAATCAATTTATTATTTTGTTCCTCAGTGAAAATCTCGTAGGAATTTCATTCCTACGGATATCAAAGCGAGGATCGGGAAAGCAAGACAAGCTTTCATTACTCTCAAGTCTATGTGGAGATCAACACTCAGCACTCAGCATGGAAAACAGGATGCGAATTTTCAATACCACTGTGAAGTCAGTGCTACTTTATGGATCAGAGACTTGGCGCCATGCCACATCACGAAGGGCACTTCAAACAAACTACAGACTTTCATCAACAGCTGTCTTCGCTCAACACTACTCAAGATCATATGGCCAGAAAAGATCAACAGCAGGGATCTCTCGGAGCGAACAAACCAGGAACTGATTGTGTAACAAATATGCAGGAAGAAATGGAGGTGGATTGGCTAGTCATACTCTGAGAAAACCGTCAAGGGACATCACAATACAGGGTCTCGAGTGGAGACCCAATGAAATGGGAAGCGGCGAGCTGGTTGTCGGTATGAGGGTGACATGGAGGAGGTGATCTGAAGAGGCAATGAAAGCATGTGGGCATAGGTGCAGCCAGGTGAAAACGTTGGCGGAGAACCAAACGCAATGGAGACGCGCGGCTGAAGTCCTATGTTCCTCTCGGAACTAAACGAAGCAATAATAATACTAATAATAGGAATGAAATTTGTAAAATTTTCGTGAATACCTAAGATTTAGTAACATAACATTCTTATTCTATTAATTGTATTTTAGATTTGAACGAATGTAACATGAGGTTGGATTTATGCTCCGAAAATTCAACCTGTCTCAATTTACCTGGTTCATATACTTGTGTATGTCATGATGGATTTGAACCAACCGCCTCAAGTCAACTAAACAAGTTAAATACAACTGAACCAATGAATAATAATACTATTACTAATAATAGTGATATGTCAAATCGTCAGGAATTCGACAGTTCTACTGGACATGTATGTCAAAGTAAGTTGTCAGTTTTGTGTATACATCAGTGGCTACGTTGTCATTAATGCGTACATATTTGAAGTTTGACAAATATGTATACATGGATGAAATGATAGATGATATACAGGTGTGGCATGGCCTACTGACAAGATTCTTCAAGTAGTATCTTATGTAAGCGTTATTCACGAGTTGAGTGATCGGTCGAATAGCGAAGACAAGGAATAAAAGCTCCTTGTCAAACCATCTAGAACGCATGAAAGGAAGTCAAAAGAAGCATATAACAAGATGAAGATTTGCAAGTAGAGATTTATGGATTTCGACACATGTGTACATCAGTTTACCAAATAAGCAATTCTGCTACGAAATACTTCCATGTTCTGCTGTTCCAGTCAGACTGTTCCAAACTAAATAACTTTCTCTCGGAAATTAGTCAGTGGTCCTCTTCAAACGGTCTTAAGCTGAATCCGTCTAAATGTCAGGTAGTAAATTTCACTTTCAGACGAAAACGTGACCTACAACAACTAGCTAGCTCACATGGTCCCACTATCATTGACGGCATAGAGGTTGAAACTGCATCTAATGTCAAGTACCTTGGACTGAATATTTCCTCCGATCTTTCCTGGTCCTCTCACATCTTGCTAGTTACTAGAAAGATGTTTCGCTTAACGTTCTACGTTAGGAAGTTAAGGCAGTCTGGTATAAAGCAGTCTTTGCTTTCTCAGTTTGTCAACTCTTGTATTCTAACCATCCCTCTTTACTGCTCCCCATTAATCTTTCCTGGACTACTTAAGAAAGATTTTGCTTTGCTGCGTAGGGCACTAAAAGCTGTTAGTAGGGCAAGTGGGATTTCGTTAAACCAACTGGTTAACACTATTGTGGATAGACATATAATGTCATGTAAGAAACTAGCGAATTCTATATTGTCAGACCCCGAACACCCTCTCTATACGCAGCTCTCTCCTTGCATTTCATCTGGTAGAACTAGAAGCAACTATAGGAGGCTATATGCTAGGACTACCAAGTACAAAAACTCCACAATACCTTATCTGGCACAGCTGTTATGTGATGAGAAAACTGTTAGGTATGACACGATCAACTTACTGCGGCACTCTAACAAATAGTTCCCATTAGCTTTTGTTCTCCTTTCTTTGTTACTATTATATTGTTGCTCACATATTCTATTACACACTAATTTTATATTTCATATCCTGTGGTGCATTGTTTAAATATGTGAATGCAATGCTGTTCTTTTTTATTTCTTTTATTTCTCTTTTTTTCTTTTTGTTGTTGTTGCTTTTTATTTTTAAAATCTTATAAAATTTATGAGGTAATTAGATGCAATATTGTAATGAACGCTGAAAATTCCATACCTGTACCACAAATACTGTTTGGAATAAAGCTATTATTATTATTTACATTAATTAGGCCATAAGAATATGTGAAAACGAGAAAATTTTCCATGCATAGTCTTGTAACGACAGAAGACATGGGCAAGGTAACAGATCGTTTATTAAGAAAACCAGGAGATATTTATAGATTTGTATGTACATTACTATTCCTTATTGTTAGCAGCGAAGCAACCTCTTCTGATTGGTTGTTTTCTTGCTCAAGGTTATTTTGTACTGCTTATGACCGTTTCTTAGAAAATTAAGCCATATATCTGCGAATCGTATCTGCACATGTTAAGTCTGCTGTGATTGGTTAGTGATTTCCTCATGGCTAAGCTTTGTTATTGCTTTCTTTTTCTCATAACCCCGATTCGGGACGTGAACATTTACGTCAATTGTTGTCTACAATTTTGACTTGCAGACAGTGCTCACCACAGCCTTATGAAAAGAGATATTCAACAGAGAAGAAAACTATGACGCAGACAGTCAACATCAGGACGAATGAAATACACATGAAGGCTGTTCAGATAGTCAATAAGTATCTGATTTATAGTGCAAGTCTAGGCGAAGCTACTGATGTCTACCGATCTTATCCACTAATGTATGGAAAGTGGTTTGCTATTTAGAAATCTTACTGGATATTGTCTCATTGTTCTGGAGTGTGATTAAATGCAAAATCGCCTATACGTCATCATGTCAGTCAGACAGATTCCTTGAAATCGCGTATTACTACACCTATTGTATGAAGACCTAATTGAAAAGTAACATACTTCCTGGCTAAATTTGTTTTTTCTTAATGTGGAATTGGGTTATTTTCGAATACTGTGTAGGATTTTACAGGGAGCGTTAATCGATTCATCTCAGCCTGGGATGTAAATGGAAATAAAATCTACAGGTAGTTATGATTTCTATTTGCAGAAAACACTGTTGCTTTTGAACATTCAAGCTAACTATTAATTAGTTCCTTCTGGCAGAATCAGCTGGCTTGCTGACTTGGCTTTGGTATGTTTGTTTTTGCGTTGATGGCACAGCGGTAGAATGCTCACCAGCCACGCCGTAGGTGGTCTGGTGTTCGATCCGCGGCCACTAACGCACTCCTTTACCTCGTTACGCCAGTAAGAGGACTGGCAAACAGGGAAGGTTGAACATGAGGTGGCTAGCAACCACATCCCGTAAAAATAAACACCACTGCCACTGTGATTTCGAGCCTGTAGCTTGAAGCCCTATATTCCACTGTCTGCCTGTCTGTTTTCAAAATAGAACTTCGCACCGATTTGCAGCAGTTCGAGTTGCTACACTCTCTCCATGTAGCACACAATGCAAGAGAAGAAAGTATAAGAAATGCAAAATAGAGACAGTAGACAAAGGATATGAGACAAAAGGAATAGTAATATCGAAGAATAATATAGTTTTATTGGAAATTATATGTCACAAGGAGTGGATGCATCTGCCTTAGCCATTGAGAACGATGAGTTTGAACCATATCACCAATTTTCTCCAGCCTTCATTGGTTTTTACCGTCCTGAGGACCCCAACAAAGAAGTCTACACCTTCCTACGTGGCTCGCTTAAAATAACTGTTTTGGATTTCATTCACTCATCAGGCCATGTTTTGGTTTGACCACCACCACTAGCTCACTTTCAACCTGACCCTATGTCAGCTAACATTACCCGTCGAGGGAGGCGATGACTAGGCATACGTAACACATGTGCTGACCATCTCAATCGATGTAGCTTCACAGCCTCATCGATTGATTACCCCTCCTCCTTACCTAGCACTCGACCGAAGTCTAACCTCAATATTGCTTACCCTGTTATACCACTTCACAAGGGAACGGAAATGGATGAAAAGAAGAAAATAAAAAGAATGTTATTGTTATTATTATTCCTTCGGTTTCCAAGTGGAATACATGGCTTCAATAGCACACAGCAATTTCACTCTGCCCTATACAGTCTTCTTCTTAGCTGGCTCCATGACTACCCATAAGTTTTAATCTTCTCTTTATACAGTCTTCTCCATGTCTAACCGAACCCTCGGCCAACAAGTCTATCCTCATTCAGTTCCCATCCAATAGTCTTCACAGCTTACATTAAATCCATCTCTTTTTACCTCAGTATATTTGTCTGAAGATATATTCTTGATTGGTCATCTAATCTTCAGTATCCAGCTAGCGAAGACAGCTGCTGAAAGTCTTTGGCCTGCTAGGAGTGATTTTCAGTTAGTTTCAACTACTTCGGTTTCTTGCAAAGAGTCGAACCTATATACCTCCGATGACCTCGGCCTCAGGCAACAGAAACGCCCGTCGTTGTGTGTTTAGACCACTTTGACCTGGTGAACGAACACTACTGTTTGACATATGGATGATATCCAACTGCTTATATCAATAAATCAGTAGTATGTAGAGTCTTGGATTTATCAGTTTATACTAAATTTGATAGTATTGAAAGGCCAAGTTAAACTTTAAACAACCACTAACTACCAACGGAGTGCGACTGCACTAATGACCTTGAAACGCTCACTGAGCAAGTTAGTGAAACCTGGCAAATAATGCTGTCATCATCAATAAAATATGCTCATCGAAGTGTCATGCTATTAAATGGGATATCTGGCAAGTTTTAACCTAGGTTTAGGAAAGATTAAGTTACACTTTAGGCCAAGGACAAGTTAGAGTTAGGTTAACCTAATGAAGGTGATATTGAGGTTGGTTCGAGTTAGATTACAGTTAGTTTAGGGATATTTTCACGTTAAGGTTAGGTTCAGGAAATATTAGGGCTATTGTTAGGGTTAGAAGACCTAAATAATTACATGCACAGTATGTGGTTAAATTACTCTGTTTACATAAAAACAGAACTTATGCACTGTAGCAGTAGAGTATAATTCCATTGTGGGTAAAATTTATTTTGATAAAGTCTCACACTATTTGTTATACAGTAATATTTACTGATGACCACGTTTCGAGCACTCTGCTGATACTCCAACCTAAAACTGAGAGCTATTTTTATCATATGTGAGAGGAAGTCATATCCTATGTAACACTTTCATACAGTTTTTATGCATATTTTTCCCCATAAATATATGTATTCCATAACACAAAATGCCTCGTTCACGTGATTGGCGCGTTCAAGGTCATTCGCTGATTGGTAGTTATTGGTGCTTAAAGTTTAACTATGCACAATAAAAATGTCAAAATGTTTATTTTATCTACATTACTTTCTAATTGCATATATTTGTAGGAGTTTCTTTGTGTCATGGTTATCAAGGCATTTATCTTAATTGTCCAAACGGGACATTATGTGATGAGAATCAGGGGAAGTACATGTGCAAACAGTCAGTTTCAAGTAACACGGAAAATGAAACGGAAGAAAGAATCAACTCAACAGTGTATAATACATGTAAGTTCAATATGGACTAAGCTACTTCGTTTGTTAGACTAGAGACTGTCAAATAATAAGAACTACAAGTTTCGAAACATTCAAATTTCTTAACTTTAATTTATATATGTCCAAACCAAGTTCACTTTTAAAAGTTCGAAAAAATAATTGGGCATTGGGTAAATGATATTCATTATAATAAAGGTTTTTTGTATTTCCCAATGAATGAAAAACAAAACAATATTGTTGCTTTTACTGACGTTTCGCTATAGAGCGGAGACATCAGACGACATCAGAAGAGTACTCAGTAAGCTTGACATCAAAGGTTTCTTCAATACATTAAATACACACATTCAAAAAAGCCACCTTGTCCATATAAAAGACCAAATCCCATAGGATTCTCTGTCTAATTGTGTCTACAAAGTAAAATGCTTGGAATGTGATGCAATATATACGGGACAAACCTCGTCAGACAGAAATCAAAATAAGAAGAAATGAACACCGTAGAGTGAGTGTCTGTTCAGCAACCGAGAAATTCGGTTAGTCAACTAGAAAAGCTTGAAAAATCATCAGCCAGCCATAGGTCCTCTACACGCTGTAGAATCAGGTCACAAAATTGATTTTGACACTACTGAAATAATCCAGAAAGAGCATTTCAGAAATCACAAAGAACGACTCACATCATCAGAAGCACTTCATGTCATCAAATGCAATCCAAATTGTCTGAACAGTCTGAATGATGAACTAAGACAGAATTTTACCTGGTTACAACAACCCAGCCCCTTCCCCCATGAAATGACAAAATCAACACCGATGTGATAAGCAATTTCTTTATGTAATTTTACACACTTATCAAATCCAACAATCTACACCTGGTTTTGTTACCTTTACCAAGTGGCCAACTTGACAACGTAAAAATGACCCCATGCTGTGGAACGATGATTAAGTTGTTGTATACATATAAGCTGAGTGGATTTTGTAAATTCTGGTTTAATAACACTACTACTTTGATAGAGCTATTAGCAGCAGTATGAAATAGCTAAACATCATTAAAAAAATTTTAATATCGTTTTGTTTTTCATTCATTCGGAAAAACAAACAATTCTTAACTTTAAGTTTGTATTCCCCTCCGACGCATTCCTAAATATTGCTAACCCAACAAAAATGGAAGGTCGAGTGAGAGGGTTACCTACCTCACTGCATAGAAACAGCACGATTGCTACTGGAACTTCATAACTCAACTAAAAATGCAAACGAATGAGAAAAGATCTGCAATAAGAGTTAGGTCGAAGTGAACAGCTGTTAACTATGTTATCTAATGTGACCGACCACAGAATGGAACTTACCGAATTTTACCATCCGCGCTTATTTTACACAAAAAACTAAGATATGCATGAAATTTGCTAGTAACTGATAAGAATTCACGATATACAAATAACATGATTCTGCTTGAATAAATCAAAACAAGTGTAATCCATTTTCTAGAAATGTTTTACCCTTCATTTCCAAGTCAACTGGACATAACGAATAGTGAATTTCACCATTACTGTGTCCAATGTGTTCAACAAATGCTAGGATTTATTTTTGACTACTAGCAAATTATTTAAGTAGAACAGCAAGACAAACGAAAATACCTTCATGTAATCAAGAATACGTAAATAGATCCGTTTTTGTACCTTCACTTCAAAGCTTCACAGTTTTTTAGGGTATTCATGCACACTATATAGATTGACAAAAGAGGTCAAAGGTTACTGTATGTTAGTAGTAAGTAAATTAAAGCGAAAAATTATAGTTAACAGTGATTCTGGCCTTTGAAACGATGAATATTGAGTCACAGTCTAAATGTGGACACCATCATTCACTAAAGAAGTACGTATACCCGGCTGATGAGCTTCAAATAGGAACAACGCTGCTCAGGTCAGTGAAAAGTGGCGAATTCCTTCGAAATTTAAATACTACTGTTATTTTATGTCTTGTCGTATTGTAAATTCTTTACGTTGCTGCTCATTACCTCTCCTAATAAGGTTATAAATTTTAACATTGATTTTTCGCTTCACTACACACTTTTTAATAATTCATCATTTTCCATTATGCTTTCCTAACTGAAGCCTGTTCAGTTGGTTATCATCGAATGTACAGCAATCAATCATTGGACACATTGAATGAAATTCCTAATGATCAATTCAAACAATTAATTTATTCTACTGATAATCGTGAAAACAAGCTATTGTGTTATTGTCAGGTGAGTATACTTTGATACGATTGTGTTAAATAATAATTTATCAATAATATGAGTGAAAATATTCATTCAGACATCGATAAAATACAACATAACTGAGTAAAGAATATCCTTTTCGATAATTTCCTCCTCTTCTGGCTCTACAATTAGATATCTGTATGTTTATATATATAGAATTGTGGTAAAAAGAGCATTCCCTGCTGCCGAATTGTGCTGTGTCTTCAAAACCACTCCTCTTTTGCGTTCGGGAGTAAAGGATAGACTGCCTAATTTCGCCTCTTCAATGTGTGTGTATCTACCAATTTAACTGCTCCTGTGGAGGCAGTTAGTTGCATAGGCCATACAATTAGGCGTGTTTCTCGCCGGAATTCTGAACATCATCCTGCGTGGTCGGCTAAGTATAGGACAAACAAAATCAATTCCTAGCGCTTTTTTATCTTATCCTGTGGATACAGAACACAAGAGTGATGTTAATCATGCTTTCAGGGTCATTTACCGCATACCAACAAATCTCAATTTCGCCTTAAGAGTTCGACTACTAAATATTGCTGAAGCTGTTGGGATCCCTACTAAGAAGCCTAATTTGTGCGTCCGAAAGAAATTAGTTCAGACATTATCCTTACCTTGGCCATCTAGGTTTGAATGATCTTGAACTTAATCATCTTTCTTGAACTGTAATTCCATTGTGATCTTACTTTACAAATCGATATTATTAAAAAACATTAATATTGTTATTGTCTACTAATTTAAAATATTCTACGTATATGAGCATGCAGATATCTAATTGTAGAGCCGTAAGAGGCAATTATCGAAAAGGATATTCTTTCCTCGATTATTTTGTGTTTAATTTGAGTGAGTTGGTGTTCCACCTATCCGTCTATCTATAGAACAAAACTCAATGGTGTATTGTATTTGGCAGGGTGGAGGATATATCGTAGGTGACAGGCAGGTTAAAAAGTACCCTAAATGACTAATTTTATTCGTCGGCAACTTCATTGCTATGTAGTCTATTTTAGCCAAGATGAACCCTTAATGAAATGGAACGATTCGAAGTTACAATCATTGCATGCCTTACTATTAAACTAGGCGTTGACACAATTCACTCTTTTGGCATTGCCTTATATTTCATACAGACAAAATGAATGTTGAATACTATCCGTCTACATTTTGTGAGGGGGACACAGGACTTCAAGTATGAGCTTTGAAATTTTAGCAATGATGATGTTATTTTACGGGATGAAGCTGTTAGTCTCATATACAAATTTTCCACCCTTTCTGGTCTACTACAGAATAGGCGAGGTCTAAGAATACCTCGGTTCGGAGTCGAACCTGGACCTTCTGCGTGGCTGGAGAGCATTCTACTAGTCAACCACCGACACACCAGCGTAGTTACCTAGAGGCAATAGAGTATCTTTACACTATACATTTGCAAATTCTCTTGTGGGTTACAACGCACTTACTGGAATGATTGTATAAGACAGTAACTCGCAATAAAGCATATGTAATAAATACAGATAGGAAGTAGAGACACTGGACAACATCACTGGTGAGAAGCAGATATCAGGTCCCGTGATTATCCTATGTAAACTCTTACACGGCTGTAAGAGTTTTATTAGACACAGAGTTAAGCAATGAAATGTGCTTCATCATCAATCTGTTCACGGTTTGAAATAATGATCTTTTAGTCGTCTGGTTTAAATGCTATAATTAGGTGATCAAATAGAAGTAGTGTTGGTTGAAAGCAACAATTCACTGACTCAATAATCTGTGAACAAATGAAGATGTGATAAGAGTATATCGATTTCGTAGAGTTTGCCATTTCCAAAATCTAGTTAACCTAATGTCTACTAATAATACGGCCTTCGTCTAAAGCTGATAATGCAAATTTTGAAAGATTTGTTAACATTACTGGTAAAACCAGAGGATCCCCGTCTGCATCAAACCATAGGTTCTTTCTTTCATCACGTCTCTGGAATAGATCTCGACGAGCTGTTGTAAGCAGCCTACACTCGAACCCTCAGCAGCATCTTCAGCACCACTGACTTCACTGTCGAATCGTGGACACCCAGCAGAGTGGCAACGACCACAAAGTCCCTCAGGAAGCTCCAAACTCCGCCATCTTCGAAAATTGATGGAGGCTACACCTAATGTAGCAGCAGAACATGGTCGCATTTGGTAGCAAAATTCTTCATTTGGTGGAATGATGGTGAAATGTGGAAAACTGACAGTGAAATCTTAAATTTGCGCACAGGTGTTCTCCATGTTGCGCCTCTTTTGCCTTTCTTTCATGTTTCCTCTATATTGTTTCACAGAGATATTTCATTTCTCCTCTTCACTATCTAATCTGTCTCCCCGCTATTCAATATTCTGGCTGAAGTCGTTACAGCCACGCAGTATACTACTTACATTGTCGTATCAGTAGCACAATGAAGCTGCATTAACTAAGCTAATCGTTCTGTGATTTTTCATCTTTTTCCACGAAGTTAGCTGATTAACCATTTGAACTTAGATAGGGTCCCAGTGGCTTAATGGCCCACGAGCTCACTATCCTTGTAACCAGAAGGTCCTGGTTTCGAGCCCTGTCAGTGGGGTGTGGATGCGTGCTGATGAAAAGTCCCAAACTTTGTTGACGAAACAGTTGTCCAGTACTCCCTGGCTGGTTTTCCAATGGTTGTCTAACTGATGTTAGAACATGATGAAACCCTCCAACCAATCAGACACAATCCTTACAAAACCAATACTTGAAAATTTTATTTCAGTTAATTATTACCACACCTCTTAAACACTTGTGGGACCAAATCATCAGGTCATGTTGGTTTGAATTGTTTAGAATTTAATATAGCCTTCTTTACTTTGATCCATTTTTGTTCGGCTTGATGTCGAACAGAGGATAACTGCAGAGCAGTTGCATGATAGTTGAAATTATCGAAGGAACTTTGGTTTCATTCTGACTATAAATGCAGCTTGATAAAGAATATATCTAACAGCAATCAGCCTGTAGGATGAAACTCCTCGTGAACTGCCCTCAGGGTATTCGATTGCATTTCTTTTACATTCGTTTGTACTCTAAGCGGAACGAAGGCCTCCAACTTTTTAGCTTTGAAACTTCAGTTGAGATACTGTCGTATTCACGGGACAGAAGTACAGATTTACCGGGTATCCGTTAAGCGAAGTTTAGTGCTGTTTTGGTGGGAAATAGAATCCGGAATATTGGCAGCGTAATCAGAAAGCATTCTACCACACAACCACTAAAAAACAGTAGTAAGATGCTAGGCTGAAGTATCGTCCCGTAGGACGGAATAAGATTCAAATGTAACGAAACGCTACCAGATGAATAGTCGTGCGCCGATAGCACAGAGGTTAGGACGCTCGCCGACCATGCACATGGTTCGGGGTTCGATCTCCGGCCAGTGGATGCACTCCTTCACCTCGCTAAGCCAGTAATTAAGCTAGTAAAGAGGAAAGGTTGGGCATGAGGCTAGCAAACATATCCTGTAAAAATAATAAAAACACTGCTACAGAAACTACAAGCCTCTAGCTTGAAGCCCTATGTTCCACTGGGAACGTGAAGGAATAAAAAACCAGATGAATAATAAACGGCTTTCACGTATAAGTTCGGTGTCATGTTAAACTCCTAGAGGGAACAGTGTTACTGATTGAGATGAAACCACATTCAGCTGAGGCATTTTTCAAGCAGCGGGATGAAAAGTACGCCAAGAATTCTACCGCTAACATCTACCAAACTAATTAGAATTTGAATAAGGCATTTAGAAGACAAATTTAGCGAGATGATGGCATCATTTCGTAGTTTCTTTACAACAGCCTTACAACTAACATGGTTAACAATAGTAAAATAAAATAAAGTCCATGACAAATACTAAGTTAAATAAACAAAAGTACATACTAATGACCAATCATATTTAGATAGGTCAAGTAGTCCATGGTAGGCGAAGATTGAAGTCTATTGTTTTTTGTACACGCAGTTTAGGCTGTATATGATTTATCCCCAAAGTGTTTCCATCACCTTCAATAACAAACCTTGAATTAGAGTTATGTGAAATAATTGTGAAACAGTTATTAATATTGATTTTGTGACCTGACATTAATAATTGTTTTGAAATGAATGATGTTGGATTTCTATTCAGATTACTCTAATTGGGATTTTCTACTTGATTTAGTAGCCATTTTGGAACATGTTCTTTTCGACCACATTGGAACATTCTATTGGTTCTACCTATAAAAGTGTCACCGCAACAACTGTAGGTGAACTTGTAGATACAGTTTGAAATAGAGTCCACAGAATTTCGTCCTTTAATTGTAGATACAGGGATCGAAAATGTTCCGCAAATGAAGGAAAGAGATGCGGCGTAGAATGTGCATTTGATGGCTGACCGAAATCTTTGAGTTAGCTGTCAACTGCATAATCGGGTCATCCTTGAATGGTAGGTAGGTTAATAAAGATAGCTTTCTTTGGTACAGGAGCTGTCTTTTTGAGATTTGGTTTTTCTTTACTGTGACCATGTTATTTGTAAAGTGGTTGCAAAGAAACTACGAAATGATGCCATCATCTAGCGAAATTTGTCTTCTAAATGCCTCACTTATTCAAATTTATCAAAGGGACTAATTGTTTTAATTAGAATTTATTAGCACTGACAATATTGAATCTCTCCTTTTATCCAAAATGGTCTGAGTCTAACGGTCTTAAACTGAATCCTTCTAAATGTCAAACTGTTAATTTCAGCTTAAGATGTAAACGACAGTTAAAAGAAGCCGTCGATTCTCATGACAGTTGTAAGATTGATGACAGTGATATAGAAATTAAATCAGAAATTAAGTATCTTGGACTTATCCTCTCTTCTGATCTCTCCTGGTCTTCCCATGTCTCAGCGATCTCCAGTAAAATATTCCGCCTGACATTTTACATTAAGAAGTTAAGGCACTCGGGTATTACTCAACCTCTCCTCCTCTTACAATTCATAAACGCTTGCATCCTACCAGTTTTTCTTTATTGTTCACCCTTATTCTTTCCTGGTTTGCTTAAAAAGGACTATGTCACAATTCGTAGAATGCTGAAGACTGTCAGTAGGATGAGTGGTGTCCCGGTGGACTACATAGTTAACGTCGTTGTCGATGGGCAATTAAATTCGTGCAGTAAATTTGCTAAAGGGATTTTGTCTGACTTGAAGCATCCACTTTACCCTCAACTTTCACCTTGCATCATCTCCTCAGGTAGAACAAGAAGTAACTTCAGAAAACCGTATGCTCGCACGTCTAAGTATAAAAATCCTATGATACCATACTTGGCACGTATTTTATGTAATGAAAATAGCGTCAGGCAAGAATTGACTAACCTTTTTTCATCTAGTAAATAAACAATCTCCTCCATCCATTCACCCTTATATACCTTCAAGTTTTACTTTTATTATTTCTATTATATTTATGGTCCTGTTGATTCTTTGTTTTCACTTTCATAACTGCAAACACCAACTTATCTCTATGACTGCTGTAATCTTTGTTTTTTCCCTCACCATATTATATTAAAGATAACATCATATTCAATATTTTTAAACATGCTAGGATTTGTATACCACATCGACGATACTGTGTGAAACAAGCCCACAGCAATTTCCACTTGCATTATTATCATTACCTTCGCTGCTATCATTATTATTATTTCTATTTTATATGCTGCATGTCTTTTATTTTTTTATATTAACCCTATTGTAAATGTAGAAAAATTTTTCTGTGTGATTAATTTTATTTATAATTTGAGGAAATTAGATGCAATATTACTGTGATTAATGCTGAAAATTCCATTCTGTATCACAAGTACTGTTTTTGGAATAAAGTAAATTATTATTATATTATTATTATTATAAATCTTTTAGTCAGGTCAACTTGAATGTATCCAGCATCCAGATTATTCGTTACTACTATTAATTCAATCAGTTTCAACGGACGCCTTGTATATAAACCAATCAGTTCATCATCATCATCTTCATGAGAACCAGTTGTGTCGAATCTGTTCAAAACTACAGAAAAGCTCACAAAGGGAATTATCATTGAATCTATCAAAATGGTATGTGGATTATTGTATATTATGCAGTTTTATGGACAATATGACAGCGATAAGCAATTTTACCTATTGGTGGGTAATTGAACAGAATCCTTCTCTGCCTCCGCTTCCGCCTCCTCCAGCGAGGTGGGAGAATCATTCATTGTGTAAAATTTGTATAGAGTTGGTAAGTAGTGACTCATTGATATATAAACATTGAATGTTATCCTGTACTCTTGTATAGATTTCTGTCAATATTTCACTAGTGTTTATTCGAGGTGAACTGACGTCAAGTCAGCTGGGAGAATCATGAAGAGCTAAGGGGGCACATGATGGCTGTTCAGTCTTAACCAGAGATTATTCCCAACAGTATTCCATCTAATTTACTCAAAACAACAAAAAATAAACATTACATAATAATAATACTAATAACAAAAACGTTGTTATAGCAGCTATGTAGCAATTACAGAATGCGATAAGGAGAAAAATATGCATCAAGTATAAAATTGTAGTAATAATAGTAATAACAACTAAAATAAAAATAGCAAAGTTATAATTAAACCATAGAAAGGGTGACATCATACAATTACAGAAAGATGAAAGATGAAAGGGTCGATCACTTTGCTAATTACACAGTAACTTATATGTTTCACGTCTAACAGAGTCTCCGTCACATAAAATACGGGCTAAATACGGTATTGTAGAATTTTTGCACTTGGTGGTTCGAGCATATGACGTCTGATATTGACTTCTCGCCCTACCTGATGAGATACAAGGGGATAGTTGTGAATAAAGGGGGTGCAGAGGGTCTGATAGTACGGCCTTTGCCTATTTTGTACAGGAATTTATGTGTCTCTCGACTATAGTATTGGCGAGCTCACTCAGTGGCAAACCACAACCCCTACTCATAGCATTTAATACCCTTCGTAATGTGATATAGTCTTTTTTTAGAAGCCCAGGAAAGATTAATGGTGAGCAATAAAGTACAATAGGTAAAATACAGGAGTTTAAAAATTGCAGAACTAAAGGTTGGTTGATACCTGATTGTCTTAACTTTTTAATGTAGAAGGTAAGACGAAACATTTTCTTAGAGACTGATAAGATATGGGATGACCATGAAAGGTTAGAGGAAAGAACTAATCCAAGGTATTTAACGCTTGACTTGGTTTCAATTTCCGTGCCATCTATGCTACAGGCATCATAGGAACTAGTTCATGTACGTCACGTCGATGCTTGAAAGTAAAGTCAACTGCCTGATATTTGGAAGGATTTAACACAAGATCATTTGACTTAGACCACTTGCTGATGTCCAACAGAAAGCTATTAAGTTTGGAGCAGTCAGACTCGGAAGTGATAGGCAGTGATACATTCAGATCATCAGCATATTTGACGAAGTTAGTTTCGTTTAATTGAGGCAGGTCGTGTAGGAAGAAAGAAAAAAAGAAAAGGAGAGAGGATGGCACCTTGACCATTTGCCCCACTCCCAACAGCTGCACTTATCATGTATTCCAGAACTGATGACGATACCACTCAGTTTCTCAGGTTAAAGTGGGCGCAGCGGAAGTCGAGTCTATCACTTCTTCTCTGAAGGCTGAGTGTTTAAGCTGACGTGTGTATATTGTAGACTGACAGCTGCCGATTCGATATTCAGCTCCTGTTAACTGATAATATAATATAATCATAAGTAGTTTTTAAAATATTCTCAATTATATTATGGCTGATGGTGACTATCACTGAAATCCAGTGAAATCGCCCTATTTAGGGCTTGTTAAATGGACGCACCTGGCTTCACAATGAGATGGTCTTTAAATTGAAACTAACTGCAACGCAATGTATTTCATGGCAAACTTCTTTGTGTTAACACCGCTTAGAGGAGGCTGCGATGAGTGTGCTCAGTCCTTCCGAATTGTCAATGTACTCGCCTCACAACTTGCAGGTCTTGGGCGACATCCCCGATGGGATCATTGGTGCGTTCGTTGGTAGTTCGGAGGAAAGGCATCTTACCTGAATCACTAGGCTACCTGGATTTCCGTCCGAGAAAATGCATCTTATTTGCTTTAATTCCCACTGTTGTAATCATTATATTATGTCCGTGGTTTGCTAAACGTACTCATGAAGATTTTTTTAATTGATTTGCTACAAACTGTTGCTTATCTCTGGGGGACCAAAGAAGAATGCCATTACAGGATTATTTTATTCTTCAGATCGAACAGAATCGCGTCACATGATGTACTGGAGATGACTGTTTTACTTAGGAATCGTGGGTGAAGAGGAAAAACTATGCAATAAACTACGCTGAAATTTATGTATCTTGTGTAAACTTATTGTGCAGAAGGTCAATCGTACAACTATGTATCAACTCTCGTGGAAATTGAAGGAATACCTAACTCCTTAGCGTACAAGGATTCGTAAATGAATTCTACAGTCCCCGACAAGGCGACCATGTTTCATTTATTTTTTTATTTTTATTTACAGCTTGATTCCACACCGTATTTTCAGTACAAGTATGGAATTTTCAGCATGGATATCGGTAGCCCAAATTCAGGCCGACCATAGATATCGGGTGTGCGCCGGCCGGGGATCGAACCCCGGACCATGTGCATGGTCGGCGAGAGTCCTAACCACTGTGCCACCGACGCACTAATGTTACTAATGTTCTTATCTCTCACTTTATTCTTGTAAATTCGAAAGTGTTCTTCAGGCTTCATCGAGCCACTTTACACTATAGTATGGTCTAAGTATGATTGCCACCAGTTTCGCTACTTTACGGTAATCTGTGGAATGGATGGTTTTATTGAGAAATTATCATTTCCTCTCTAGACAATGAATGTCCCAGGCGCTAACTTCAGTGTGCAGTGAGCTTTGGCAACTCTTCATAGAGGAAATATCCTTGTTTCTTAGCAACTATGACTTGGATTGGTTGTAACTGGAGACTTTAGGACTATGCTTAATTGTATTGGTATTGATTGTCTCATCCACGTAAACCCATATGAATATGAGAAAATACACCTAGACAACCAATCATAATCAGCGTCACCAGAAAAGATGGATACTTCATCCATGAAGGCTTCCTAAGGCCCACTTGACACTGAATTTAATGCTGAAGATGCTGTCTAGAAAACAATAAAAGCTTCTCATTACACAGCTGTTTCATCTTCGTTTACTGCCATTCAGTGGTGCATATGTAAGACCCCATGAGGGGTCGAAACTAGGACCTTCAGGTTAACACATGAGCTGCCAGGTTGAAATTCAATGACCTTAGAATTCTAACTTCATGTACTAATATCTAGTATTTGATGTTATGATGGAGTGATACTGAGTTGTGGGTTCATTTAACTTGACTATAATTCACCTTCAGAACCCCACATTATAACTAATTGATTGATCGAAATTACCTCCATTCTGAGACAGACACAAAAGTAAGTCGGGAGAAAGCGACGATGGCAACAGCAAACTTTATTATTTTCAAGTATTGTTTCTGACATAGCACGACTACTTCACAATGTTTTGAATCGGCAGAAGTTAGAATCCATGGGCTAGCCACTGGATCCGGCCCCAGTGGCTTGATTGTCTACGAGCTGGCTTACCTTGTAACCAGAAGGTCCTGGGTTCGAACCCTGCCAGCGGGCTGTGGGTTTCGCACTGCTGAAGAGTTCCAGACTAGAACAAGACAGCCATCCAGTACTCCTTGAGTGGTTTTCCAATGGTTCTCTAACTGATGTCAGCTAATCATGATACAATCCTCTAACCAATCAACCTTCATTATGCAAAATGCATACAGTATTATATTTACAAATCCTCAGAAATTTAAACCATGAATAAAACAAATCTGATTGGTCATCTGGTATCGAAATCTCTCCCCGAGAATTTAGCCCCCAAACAAACTAATCGAACTGTCCAATAAGAGTATCGTGTCAGCACATGCATAATTCACGACCTCACAGCTAACAAATAAGATTGTTCATCCTAACAGTTGACGAACGTTTTATTAGAAAGTAAATCTTTCCCTTGTAATTCTCTAAATCAATAAATATTTTTGGGGTTTGAATTTATGATATTTTTTAAAATAATTTTTCAGAATAATACACAATATTGTCAGCCGCTGTTATGCTCCAGTTTCATGGCATTTACATCTATAGAATACTATCAACTTTGTTGTTCGAATACAATTCCTCTTAAAAAGAAACAACTCAATTCTACTGAACAAACTACCTCTCTGTCACATCTGAATAAATGCACAAACTCTAGACTGGCCTCATCTTTGAAGTCAATGTCAACACTACAGTGTATTGATTGCCAGTGTGTGGTAAGAAATATTCTTAAAATGTATAATTTTGATTGGACACTAGTCAGTAACTAGTGTAATGTGTCTAGCCAACCCTTTGTTTGGTGCAGACTGAATTCTATCAGTCATTGAGGTTTGCAATGTGGCCACCATGCCACTAGGTGGTTCACCGTCACTGTGCACTTTGAATTGTAGATGTTAGATGGTTGTAGGCAATCGACAGGAAGCCTCACCATACCTAGGTTCCGTGCTAGTTGGCCCTCACTGCAACCTTTGAAGAACTAACGATGTCCCTTCTGAGATTCGAACCCTAATAGCTCAATGGTAACGTCTCTAACTGCAGCACTGCGTGACGCTGGTTCGAATCTCAGAAGGGACATGAGTTCTTTTAAGATAGTTGCAGATACGCCTTGCTGACTAGTGAGTGCCAACTAGCACGAAACCTAGGTGGTGTCCAAGGCTTCCTGCTGATTGTCTCCAAACATCTAATATCGGCATGTATAATTTCCTGCAAGACATTATAAAGGCTAAGTTTAGTCTGGCTTTCGTATTTTTATGACACTCATCAGGTGGATGGTTAAGTGTCGTTCTCTGCTTATAAGTGGTACATATCACATTGAATTCTCGATTCACTATGTATGCATATATATATATACCTAGTACTTTTCCCCCTAACACCCCGACTGGACTCAAACCACCAGCCTTCCAGTTAATAACGGAACGTAATGACCTGTTGAGCCAATCCTGACAACACTGTTGGTCCCTTGGAGGAGAAAGCACCAACCATTCATGTGGTCTAGGTTCCGTTGCCGGTAGACGCATTTCAGGACCTCTCTTAGCTAGAATTAAGCTCGGCTAAAAGAGGAAGTTAGGCTAGCAACCCCCCCACTTGTACTAAAAGGGCCCCACCATCGCTGAAACTGCGCAGCTTAAATTCGAAACCTCATTTTTCACTTGTAACCTTAAGGAACGGAAAAAACATTGATTACTCAACAGAAAGTGCTCCATACTGACTTTTATGATCAATAAGAGATGATTCTATAGTTTCTGTTTACAACACTAAGTGGCTTAGCTTCAAGCTGAAGGATGTTTCCAAGCACCTGTTTATGACTGAATGGAAATACTGTCGCTTTTTGGGATAACGGTGAACTGGAAAAGATGAGTTCTAAAATGCCCTGAAGTGTAAATAGTTTGATTTATTTTTTGTTATATTGTATTCCCTTGAGTTCACAATGGAACATAGGGCTCCAAGATTGAGCTTTGAAACTTTGGTAGCAGTCTCATTTCTTTTACTGGGTGAAGTAGCTAACTCCACGTGCAACTTTCCCTTTCTGCCGGACTTCCTGAAGTTTAAGTGAGGTTAAGGTGAATATCAGCCGGGAAACTAACCTCGAACCATTTACGGTGTGGTTGACGAATGTTCTAACACTGAACCATTGACGCATGAAGTGTAAGTCCTAGGTCCTAATGATAATTACCGCCAAAAAATAAGTCGTCTGAATGACTGCAGATATAAAATGAACGGACGAGTGACTAATGAACTGACTGGCGTTGGTAAGAAAATTAGCTGAATGCTACATGAACAATCTATACAAAAATTGAGTTTATTCTCCCGCAATGGCAAGAAAATCATAACCACATTTCTAAAATAATGCGGGTGAGGGAAGATTTATAATTTAGGTGAATATATTCGAGGTGTTTGGAGAATTTGATCATGAGCTTACATCGGTTTGAGAACCATTTGAAAACGTGGGAGTATTGGGCGGCTGTTTCTTCAGACTAGTTTGGGACTCCGCTTCAACAGTACGCACCCATCGAGATTCAAACCCATGACCTTTTGGTTGCAAGGATAGCGAACTTGTAGACCATTAAGCCTCTGGGACCCGATCCAATGGCCAGTTCATGAATTTTAACTTCTGCTTAATGGCATACGAGCTCGCTAGCCTTGCAACCAGAAGGCTCTTGGTTCGAACCCTGATGGTGGCTGCATGCTGATGAAGAGTCCCAAACTAGGATAGAACTGATGTCCAGTCCTCCCTAGTGGTTTTCCAATGGTTCTCTGATTTATATCCGCACATGATGAAATCCTCCAACCAATCAAACAAACAAAATCCCTACATAACCAACACTTGAATATTTGAGATGGCTGTGTTCTCTGAGTGGGGTGTTTTAATCGTGTGGCTTTCATTGTCCTTCTTGGGAACACCTGCAGCATTAACCTCATCACAGTGGAGTGAACTTTTTGAATGATACCTTGGTGAAATATTTCTCTTCCCTCTGGCAACCCTCACCATATCGTTGGTTCAGTGGTATAAAACTCGTCAGCCACGCCATAAGTTGTTCGGGGTTCGATCCCTCAGTCTATACACTCCTTAACATCACTTAGCCAGTTGTAGTAGTAACTTCAGTAAAGAGGGAAGACTGAACGTGAGGCCAGCAAACCTACCTCGTGAAAAGAATACCATAACTGCTACTGGAAATCCAAAGCTCCAAGATTGAAACCCTATGTTCCAATGGGGACGCAGAGGAACACAAAACAACACTCACCACAAGAATAGCCAATCACTGTAAAGGTTTCCTTGAACGAAAACTATTTTTGATCAATGAAGGATACTCAAAGTCTACTCCTCATTGAATTTAGCGCCGAAGAACGTTTCCTGAAGGATAATGAAGGCTTCATAATCAAGTTGACCAAGGTTTCTGAAATGACCGCTTTATCGGCTTCACAAGCGATGCTGACCTATAGTTCCGCTTATACTTGAGTCTGTCAGAAACGCCACGTGGGAGGCAACTCTTAAGTGTGTAGTTTTTATGTGACACCTACGACCAGATAACTGTATCGATCATTATAAAGTGATCAATGTGTGAGCATCAGTCAGCAATCCTCCTTGGTTTCAGTTATGACAAGATAACCCAGTGGTAAGGCATTTGACCTCAGACGCGAACACACAAAAATTCCGATTTTAAAACAAATGTAAGCCTCTTTAAGACTTTAGATACACCCTAAAGAGGAATATAAACATACATGCAACATATGGTGTCAAGGAACTTAACCCTAAGCTCCTATTATTTCCGAAGACGCTCCGAATCGACAACTATATACTGAGTACAATTTCGACGTTAACTCTAAAACACAAGGATCAATAAGAAATTGACAGTTAAAATCAATATTTTGTACAAACTCTATAAACAAACGTTTTACAAGGAATGTATTGTACTTTTATTCGTATTCCTTCGTCTTCTTCCAACTTGTACACGACTGAATCATTCGCGCCTTCGAGTTGCCCGCCAATGGCGACCAAGGCCATTGTTCAAACGTTCAATGTTCATATTCATTTACATATGGCTTTCTGTGTAACAACTGAAAATTAGTGTGAATGTGTTGTCCAATTGATATTGGCTAACGGTGGAATACTGGAAGCGCATTTCGCCCTATTCGGCACTCATCAGTTTGACACACTTGCAACAAAAATGAGTGGCAGTGTTCTCACTGGGACTCGAAAATACCATCCACCCATCGTTTCTGATATGATAAAGCGTTATCCACAGGGCCAAAGATAGCCATGATAGCCACCTCTTGCGCAACAGTTATCTGTTGCCATGCATTTTAAATTGTATTTCCCCTTAATTTTTACCGTTATATTAGATCGAAACGCGTAATCTGTATTGAGATACCCATCCTGGATTCCACTGCTAGCCACTATTAATCAAATGTGGCATCATATTGACCTTCGGACACTCATGAAGTGTCCTTACTAGGAGCCAATATGTCAACAGAGATCGATCAATATAACAATCGATCAACAAACAATATATGAAATATTACGGACAAAAAGAAGAGGGGATGGTACGTTAAAAAGATCGACTCACTGAAAGCCAACATTTACAGGGCAGTACACTAACTAACTTCAACATTTGGGTACCTCTCGGCAGGAAGGGAATTCTTATCCCTTCTCTATGCCCCAGAATCCGGGAAAATCTACTCTATAGATAGGGTCAGGCATAGAACTAGAAAAACTTCGCACAACTCTATTAAGTAATGGGTATCTTTGGAGGTTTATTGACAGGAACATCAGGAAGGAAATCGTCTGCAGCCAGATCACAGTGTCAAAAAGGGATACTGTTTGTGAGTTTGCAGTTCAATGATGACACTATTAATGAAGTAATTAAAAGGTATTTGTCTAAATGTAATAAGCGCTCCTTTTATGCAATTGACCTACATTTAGTATTTACCAGCGGAAATACGACTAGACGATAAGTCAAGGATAAACTATAGCTTATGTCTATACTCATTCACATTCTCGTGTGGAGCTGATTATATTGGATATTGTAAGTGTGTTCTCCGTAAATGCATAGCTGAACACTACCCGGTTTAGTTAGTGTAAGACAAGCACAGGACGATATAGTCTTCAATTTGCGAACACCTTCTAGGATCAGGTCATTCAGATTTACGTGAGTTATCCTTAAAAGTTATCTACAGGACCAAATCCAATCACTCTGAAAGCCTGAGTTTTCTCCACTTATGCTTAACCAAAGCTCTAGCTATACATGGACAGAAAACTAAATTATGTGTTCGAAAACGTTTTGTCAAACCCCTATCTTTACGGTGGTCATAGTTATGTTCTTTTATTTTATTCTATTTTGCCACTTGAATTCATTCCACACTTCACTTCATCTTCTCCGTCTTTACTCTTATCATCGTGGTACTCTTAATATTTTTAGACAACATTTGACCTACATTTTTATAAAATCACTATACCAGTTCGGTTTTAATTGGTGGATGGTGACTAGCAGTGTAATCCAGGATTACGCAAATTTCGTCCTATTTTTGGACTCGTCATCTGCATGTACCTGCATTTCACAGTGAGTGATGATGTTCCCGCTGAGGCTCGAACCCTGTGTCTATAGTTTAAAACGCCAAAGCGTTTTCTAGTAGACCACTTGGGCGACGAGACGCAACAGGTCATATTAATTTAATTAAATTTTAGATTTTCCATCGATTGATTGGACTGAAGTGCTCGATCTCAGCTTGACATGTCGGCTTCTTGTGCAAATGCTTCGACGATATCTGGGCATCCTGGATTCCACTGCTACTGTGGTGAGAGCTGTCTACTAGCCAAGTGGTGGACAGTAATTGAGGTCAATGTTTATGTATCAAATATTAGTCATGTTGTAGTGAGAGATGGTTGCTGGCCAAATTGGTTGACAGTAATTGAGGTCAAAGGTCAAGGTGGACAGGCGGTTACAGTTATCATATAGATGAACTGACACAGCCACAAGAGATGCAAGGTTAACTTTGTGTGAGAAACAACCAATCAACAGACTGTATTTTCTACTAACATTGACCTACAATAATGTACATAAAAATCTATAAATACGTGTTGATTTTTCGTAATAAACGATCTGTTGCCTGGCCCTTGTCTTCTGTTGTTACACTACTAGTCACCATCAGCCATTTAAATTCGGCGAAGTTCTACAATAGAGTCCCAAGATTGTAAATGTTCCAATGACCCTGAACGCATGCTAGTCATTGGTTGAGGAAGCTCACCATTATTCTAGCGCGAATAATTGTGCATATTGGTAAGCGACACTGAATTAATTGTCTTCTAGGAACTTTCTTTGAAAAGTTGAAACTGTCTGTGATGATTGGTTGTTATTGGTGTCGAAAGTTTAACTTTGCCTGAATATCTTGTTTCTGTCCAATTACTGGGTGCCAGAACGAATAACGTTTGGGTACATCATCATAGAGTGAACCATTCGAATGATTCCGTCGACCCTGTCATACTCATAATAATTCCATCGAAGGTTTCTGGGGAAGACTGAAAAATAGAATCTGAGCTATCAACGGATCACCAAACGAAGTTATTTTCAGTCATTTGAATGAAGACATGTATAGAAATTGGTTTAATTTAAAAACTGAAACTCCTCTTAATAATTGGAACATTTTTTTATCTCATATTAGAGAAGAGTACCCTGTTTGATTTTTTTTCATGCTTATTTATGTAAAAATACGTAAAATTTTGTGCAAAAATCATCCTTTTTTTTCATTAGTCGGTTCAAGGTCACTTGCGCGTTCGTTCCTTGGGACTCTATTGTAGAACTTTGCCTTAAATTCTAATTAAATGCCCAGACATCGTCGAAATATCTGCACAAGAAGCCAACAGACATGTCAACCTGAGACCGAGCGAGCACTTCGGTCCAATCAATCGACGGGAAAATCTAAAATTCAATTAAATTATACCAGCTCACTTATTTAATAATCTTAAAAAGTTTTGTAATTTATTCACTTCAACTCAACCCTACTCACCCCCCCCCCTTAGTATATCATTTTAATTATCTCTTTATTCTTATTATCTTATGTGCAATATTGACTACTGAGCAATTTCTAGTGCCACTTAACGCCTTCTTTTTCCGTAATGTAAATACGACTTTACAGCTTGAAAATGTTGTTGAAAAGAGATGGTATTTCTTCGCCGAACAAAAAACCGCGATTTTCCTTGTAACTAAAAACTGCATTCCATACTTCTGTTTTAAAATTCTTTATTTTTCTCTAATTTTAGAATGATCGCATCTACTGTACATTGAATGCTACTCAAATATATCAACGAGACAATGTGACCGTTGAATGTGATCAATTATTATCAACGCTACAACGGGATTCATTACTAATTCCTATGAAGTACATTCAGAGAGATAAATCAGGGGACGGGCGATAATAATAATCGACTTTAGTGTTTTTCTAATCTGTCTGTCTGTCTGTCTATCTATCTGTCGAAAGCAACTGTATAATATTTTCGTATATAGACAGATAGATGTACATGTAAAATAGGGGATATAACGCCCAATCACTGTTATATCGCTTTATTTCGTTTTCTTGAAATTTTCTCCTGATAACTTGTGATGAAACGATGAATGAGTTTCATGTTACCTGTAAATACATAATTTTTTGAGATAATCTTAATTATTCTGTTGTATGATATATGTGGTAGGGTTGCTAACCCAATTTTGAAGATACTGACTTTGGGTGGAAAGACATCAGTCTTCCTAACCAAATCCTCTCATGTGGTCACATGTGTTCATAGTCTCTGTCAGATAAATACTATTGACTGCCTCCGTGCGGTGGTAGGGGGTGTTAGTCACAAAAGTGAGAGGCCGAAGTCAAACGTCTGGAGCTTACAAACGGAGTTAGGGACACGCAAGCCTACCCAAAGGAGTTGGGAAATCAGTCGACGAGGTTGTGAAGTTACATCGTTTGAGATGTCTAAGACATGTGTTGCGCATGCATGCCTAGCCATCACCTTCCTGGACGACGCGGAATGTTAGCTAACTGACATAGGATGAATCAGGTTGGAAAAGAGATAGCACTTCAGAGGTCAAACCAAAACACGACTTCATCAGTCAATGAAATCACAACAGTTAGTTTAAGCCAGCCAGTCACATAGGGAGATGTAGACTTCCTGCCTACCTGGTTTGGGTCGTCGGGATGGTAAAAACCAATGAAGGCTGAAAACAATTGGTGAAATGGTTCAAACTCATCGTTCTCAATGGCTGGAGCAAATGCATTCACTACTCTTTGTGATTTATAATATCCAATAAAACTGTATTGTTCTTCTATATTACTATTCTCCTTGCCTCAATCACACTTCTGTTTGTTATCTCCCTTTTGAATCTCTCTTTACTCTCTTCTCTTGCTTTTTGTGATACGTGGAGTGACAGTGGGAACTCGAACTGCTGCAAATCTATGCAAAAATCTATGTTTACTGATGACTTTATCAGTAAACATCACTATATAACACTGTGAGACTTTATCAAAGCAAAATTTACCCATAATGGAATTATACTCTACCACAGTGCACAAGTTTTATTCTTATATCAGTGGATTGGAGTTATTTATAAGTTATTTACATGTACAATATTGTTCTACTTATATAGTTTGTCAGTAGTCAAAGTAGAATCATGAAAATTGTTGCATTCATCATTTTATTGAGGCATAAAGACTAGGATGTGAAGTAGATAATAATTTTAGATAAAATCTGTTATTTTTATTATTAATGTCATTCCCATGGGTTATGAATGGAGCATAGGGCTTCAGCAGCAAATTTACATTTCACTCAGTTCTGTGTAGTTTTTCTTATCTGGCTCCATGATTACTCACAAAGTCTCATTTCCTCTTCACACGATCTTCTCTGTGTCTCCCACTTGGGTTCAACTCAAGAGTTTGTCTGGGACGTAATATCACTCGACAGTCTTCCCAGAGCATTTTAAGTCAATTTCCATTTCCTTCTGAATATTTGTTGGTTGATTCATTGACAAAGTTCCTTGTTGCTTGTTCTGTTTGGCTGGCTGGCCGGCCGGCAGGCCCGCCATCTGGTCTTCATTATGGAGCGAAGAGTAATTTTTGATGAAAACCGGCATTAGCGTATTACAATATGTATTATGCGACACATACACCAAGTCTCTAACCCATAAATAAGAACTAAACATAAACTATCATGATTTTAATCCCTTTTAAAAAGGTCGTAGCATGTCTACATTAGGCATTTCACGAAACCACAATTCCTCATACGTATAAGTTTATCATGTGCAATGGGCATGTATATCAAAGTTAGGGTAAGGTGTTTTGAACTATCGCTGTCTAATCCTTTCAATACTGAGTAATGTTAAATGAAATATTGAAAAGCTGTTCCAACTCGACTACCTTTCAAACGTTATTAAAACATATTGAAAATCAAAACAGGTGATTCAGCGAAGAGACTCTTTTCAACGAGTTTATTATCAAGCTGTACAATCGTATATTTATAGTTCTTCTATAAGAAATTATATCCAGTGAGGGAATTAGATCAAATGTGTGAATACATAAAATAATAATAGTACGAAATGCAATTAAAATATTTGTGATTATAATCATAGTTAAATGTCAAGCAGAAAAACAATTAACGTCATATATGGAATAATTCATAGGATGTAGAGAACTTGATAGGTGGGGGTGTGCAATTATAGGATTACTAGATAAATCGAATAAAATAAAAATAAAAACATTACGTAATATTGGGTGAAATTTGATAGCATAGAATTTAACGCTGTAAAAAGGAATTGATTTAGAATGGCAACTGGAACAAGTGAAATAATACCGGGGACAGTTCAAAGTGAGAATAGTAATGATAACAATTGACGTAATAAAGGAAGAGAATACAAAGTGAACAGACAAAATGAAAAATTGGTAGAGCCAAAATATGATTAGGGATTACCATAATTAGCATAAAGGGATTAAGAACATGAAAGTTGGAGGGGTTGAACGAACTTTTTCTGTACACAGAGATCTAGCTTTTCTATTTCCATGACCAAAGATGGCTTCAGCAATACAGATGAGTTGGGTACGTAGTGATTTCGAAAAATTGCTTTTCGCCTCATAGACGACTTTAAAGGCGGATGCTATAGAGATAGGGTGATCATTATTGTCCAGATGTTCAATCATCGCGCTTCTTATTGCTTCACTTCCACCTCTTCGTAACCACCGTGCAGGATAGTGTTCTTGCACCCTCTTGGACAAAACTCGAGTCGAGCGGTTGATATGCCTAGCTCTACATGAGCAGGTGAATTTATAAACACACATAGAGTTGGTCAACAGTGGGATCTTGTCCTTCAGTTTATTGAACAGTAATGGTCGACTGGTAAAGGCTATTCTCAGAGATGCAGTAGGGAGTGTTCTTTTCAGGGACTGTTATATCCTTCTTTTCATGATGTCGGAAGCTAAGTCACCTTTGAATTCAAAGCTCATGTACAGTATTGTCTTGCGTTCGGACGATATTATTATTATTAAGACAGTTAATTTGAGAAGGTGGCAGAATAAATACAGCCCAATCTTTTTATTTTTCCAGTGTTGATTTGCAAATATTTGTTTGAATTCAAACTGACCTCATCTGGAGAACTATAGAAAACCAGGTAGTGCGGGACAGCTGATTCGTCCTTGTTGAGTATTGTTCAACAGTAAGCACCCATCACCCCACCCACAAAGGATTAAATCCTTCAGGTTCCAAGGTAAGCTGGTTGACTGTTCAGCTAATATGACAGAATCCAATAATCCATGAATTCCAAGTTCTGTCAGCTAGCGATTCTTAATGCCACCAACAGCCGTCGATATTCACCAGTATTCGACCTCAAAGCTGACCTAGTCGATCCAAGTAGTCATAACTTCCATCTAGAACACCAGTGAACGTCATCCTCTGACAAGTTGCTGGTGGGCATCAGATTAATTTTCCAATATTGGCTTTCTCAGGATTCGACTGCTTTGAAGACCGGTCACGAATTGACTTCAGTTAGAGAACCAATAATTACTGAACAACTGTTTCCTCCTTGTTTGGGGCTCTTCAGTAGTACATACCAATAACTTTACTAGGGATCGAACTCAGGAACTTTGCAAATGTCTTTTCTGTCTTTTTAAGAATATCTGTAATCAATCCCTTAGTCGTAACTTCTTCAGCCTGATGTCTTCTTGAATACAGTCTTCTCAAGACTGGCAGCTTATCTGAGTGTCGAAGCAGTATAGTATCATGGCATGGATCAGCTATCTGAATGAAGCATAAAATATAACCAATAGAAGTGGGTGTGACAAAAACCTTCTTTCACATAAAACAACCTTGTCGACTGATAAGCCCTACCATCATACGGACAATCTCATCAATGAGTTGGTTAAATGCGGTGTAAAGATTGAAACGATTTTTGAATCTCAAACTATCGGGATTAAGTTACAACTTTCAAGGTATATTAGGATCAAGGTACAAATTTTGTCACAAACTTACTTTAGTTAGCGAATCGCCTAAAACTGAGGAGCACACCTGACAGTCGTTTCGAGATAGTTTGGAATTCTCCCAGTGGTACACACCTATAACTCCACCAAGGACAGACCCTAGGACCTTCAGATTATAAGATCAAACTGTTGATCGATTAAAACACTGGGTTGATATTTATATTTGAATAAGGCATTTAGAAGACACACTTCGCAAGATGATATCGTCATTTCTTAGTTTCTTTACAACCACTTTACAACTAATATGGTTCACAATAACAATAAAATAAAGTTCATGACAATTACTCAGTTAATGAAGAACAAAAGTACATACTAATGACCAATCATATTTAAATAGGTCAAGTAGTACATGGTAGGCGAAGGTTGAAGTCTATTGTGTTTTGTACACATAGTCCAGGATGATATAAGAATAAAACTTGTGCACTGTGGTATAACTCCATTATAGATAAGATTTTATTTTGATAAATCACACAGTGTTGTTGTACAGTAATATTAACTGATGACGTTTCGAGCACAATTAATTGCTGCTCATAATCATATCAAGGCACTACTCACACAACTTTCTTGCCTCATTTATATACATGATTAGACATTTGAATAAAATCAGTATAGGGTAATGTACATTCAGAAATGATAATATGAGTGTTATCAATCAAATACAGTCAGATGGGAAATAAGACGAGTGTTTTTATAGTCAAAATAAGTAAATTGTTAGAATGTTATGATGTCCGTGAATATTCACGTACATCACAAGTTTTATTGTTATACAAATTCTTACCTTAGCTAAATTCTAATGTTCTAACAATCTGACTACCCCGACCTACTATTTTGACCTATGTGGTTGATCCCACTCACAGTCATTGCAGGGCATACTGTAAATTATATTATTCTGTTTAATCGGGTCAACCT